GAAATACGGTTCAAGAAAGATCACAATCAGTATAGATTTATACACTCCTTGTCATATTAGAACTCTTGCAGGTTTTCATTGAACTTCATCTACTTCTTCTCTCGTATACTTTCGTCAAAATTTGAGTTAGTTATTTTTTATCCTCTTCTTTGTATTCTGCTATGAAGCACACTAACTTGAACTGATTCACGTTTGTGTCAGGTTTTACATTGTTTTGTCTGTGGATCATCTGTCGAAAGTTCAGAGATGGATAACCAAGACAGTAATTAAATCAAAAAAACAAAACAAGCAACTAACAAAAAGCACAACAAATATTATTTTTTGAGAAGAGGTACTGATGACTGAGAGGTTATATGAAAGCGACTAGTCAACTAACTGCCCCTTAAAAGTCACTTTACTATTTATTTGTAGAGACTATATGCATCTACCTTGTTCCTCTATATTTCTACTTCAAATGACCGAAATTCTCATGTAGTCGCATGAATTGAGTATATAGTTACTAGATGTCTATTAATAAATTGGTTTGTTTCACTGCGATCAGATTTTCTCCACATTACACTTTAGTGCAGGTTTTATGAACACGTTACTCTCAGTCTTCCTCATTGGTAGATGTTATTTGTACACATTATATTAATTTCCCTATATTTCATCAAATTTTGGTTTGTGGCTTAAATTAATAGTCAAGGTTTTTGTGATACATATCTGATATTTCCTTCACCATCTGTTTTTGACGAAAGTAGAACATTTTATACCAATAAAATTTAATGAAAAAAAGAATGGTATTAAAGAATTACTGAATTGTGAGAATCTAACGAATGCAAGCCTGGTGTTTGTCGTTTGACTATTGAATGAATATTAAAGTTGTATATTCTTGTTTCGTAAGAAATCAAAATAATTGTTACACCTTGCTGACTAGCTTTTTTTAGCATACTGCTTTAAAAGAGGTGTAAGGAAATAAGATGAGATAAAGTAACGAAGACAAACAAAGTAAAGTTAAAATCATGAATAAATTATATTAAAGTGGAGATATTTTGTAGACAGTTGGGGTAAGTAGCAAGCAAATGCATTCCAATTATCACCATACATTTTGGGTCTTGATATTTAGGTTATTGTTCATGTATTTACCAACTTCAGCATATATAGTTATTAGATATACAATCCTCTGGAATTCTGATGATAAAAATAAGTTACTCAATGTCTAAGGGCTATAATGTCGTTTCAGGCTTGATTTAGAAATTTAATCAATGATCAGTTTTTTATACTACTAAGTAAATCACCAATGGAAGAGACATGGTTCTAGATTTCTTGCATTATATAGAAAATTGAATTCCAGATTACATTAATTTTGTCTATAGTTATTGGAGACAACAGCGGACATGCTCACACCACTATTGTAGAAGGTCTGGAAGGAAGAAACGGTACCCGGCGATTGGAAGAATGGCTAACTTGTCAAACTCCCAAAGAAGGGCGACCTAAGTCTTTGCAAGAACTGGCGTGGAATCATGCTCCTGTCCACCCAAACCAAGCAAAATATTATGCCTCATCATCCTGGAGAGATTAAAAGGTGTTCTGGATTCAAAACTACGACCGGAACAGGCTGGATTCAAGAAGAAAAAATCGTGTGCGGATCAAATTGCAACGCTACGCATCATCATAGAACAGAGTATAGAATGGTAGTCAACTGGATCTTTACCTCAACTTCATCGACTTTGAGAAGGCCTTCGACAGCGTCGATCGAGAAGTAATTTGGCAGGCAGCTGCTTCAACACTACGGTTTCAGTGCCACAAACCTTTATCAACCTCATTCAACAACTATATGATGCCACATGCCAACTGATTCACAATGGAAGCTCAGTGATGCCTTTGAAGTGAAGACAGGAAGGAGTGAGACAAGGCTGCCTACTATCACCGATCATCTTAGTGATTGTGGTCGACTGGACTGGATCATGCACCAAACGGTGAGGCGCGAGAAGATGGGGATACGCTGGACCGAGGAAGAGATCCCAGGAGATTTGGATTTCACCGATGACTTATATCTAATGTCACACAAACTTGAAGATCTACAGACGAAATTTAACTAGTTGACGGAAGAGGCAGGGCAAAGAAGACGGGACTTCAAGTGGACGTAGAGAAGATAGAGGTAGGTGATGAAGATACCCAACCAACAACAACACTGATAACAAGCACCAGTCACCATCAATGGCAGAAATCGAAAGGAAGTAGCCTCTTCCACCTACCACTTAGGCAGGCAGCATTGTTTCAACTACAGGTGGCACAGACGAGGACGTCAAAACCAGGATCGGAAAAACAAGACAGGCCTTCATTAACCTGAAACCAGAGTGGAGATCTTCTGCACTCAGCATAAAGCGTGAACAAGATCTGGATTTTCAACACCAGTGTCAAGTCAGTGCTTCTATATGATTAAGTAACTTGGCGCGTTACGAAAGGCATTTCCAACAAACTACAGATACTCATCAACAACTGCCTGTGCTCGTTACTGAAGCTCAGATGGCCAGAAATAATAAGCAACAAGGAACTCTGGTAAGGATCCAACCAAGAAGCTATAGCTCAACAAATATGCAGAAGGAAATGGAAATAGATTGGGCATGCACTGAGAAGACCATTCAGGGGCATCATGCGCCAGGCCAGGCACTCGAGTGTAACCCAGATGGGAAGCGACTAGTCGGGTGTCCGAGAGTGACATGGAGATGGTGTGAAGAAAAAATGAGAGCTTGTGGCTGTCATGGAGCCAGGTTCAAAAGATTGCAGAGAACAGAGTAGAATGGAGACGTGCTACTGAAGCCCCGTGTTCCACTAGGAACCCAAGGGATAAATAATAATAATATAATAATAATTATTGGAAAACCACCCATCGAAAATGTGTAAAACTTGGTCACTGGCGTAGAATGTAATTCCATATTAAATTTGTATGCTTTATGTGTAACACACAGCGATACAGCATTAACTGATGACGTTATACATCAAATAAACCAATCTTATGTACAGTAACATTTATTGAAAAGGTGTGGTAACTGAACACTACAACTTTTAGGTAGGGTACAAAGCCTGTCACCTAAGACATGTTAATAATAAACGCCAAAGTAATGGGTGATTGGGATAAAACCAAATTATCAAAGTTGGTCAGTGATTGCTGTTTTGAATTGATCAACAAATTCCCAGTTTTATCATATAATTTACATTAGCATCATAAATAAGTAGATTGGACTGTTTGTTACAAGTAGCTAAGCAAAGTCTGATTGTGTAGACCGTAAGTAGTGAGAAATCTTAATGATAAATTTATGGTTTTCTCCAAAAATATGCAAGAGATATGAAGCCTCCTGTATCATTCTGTAACAGAAACCAATCTATGTAACTTGCTGATCATTAATAAATCCTCTAATTTCTGTGAGCAATAGTATTTATAACCATCCATATATGGTGACAAGATAAAGCGCTAATATTTAAAAAAACTGGTCGAGAAAATGAAAAACCAGAAGTGATTTATGATGACAGTGAGAAAAGACGTAAGACATTTTTTATTTTATGAATAAAAAGTGACTAAGATCGACTAGTATTTTAATGATGAATAAGATCTTTCTTGGTTTCCCATGAAACACTCTACGTTTAAGACAGAAAAGCGATAAGGTATTGCTTAATATACAAGTATTGAGAAGGTTAAAAAGTCCCTAACATTTAATTTTTAGTGGGTTATATTCATAAACTTGACAGTTTTTCAGAGCAAGTTTGAAGATTAACGGACCCTTGAATTTTACTTGTGGTTTATTGCAAGATACAGTCTTGCAAAGCAGTACAAAGAAAGCATCTGTCAGTTAGTGGTTATTATGGTTTGTTCTTTCATCACTAAAAGCAGTGCAATGTGAATAAACGATCTTTATAAGTCTTCAGATAAATTTTACTCCTAAGAACAAGCAACAAAATACTGAATAGATTGGTTAATCATCGTTTTGAGTTTGTGGTAACTTATCCCACCGTCATTTGAGGAATTATTAGTGCTAACCTTGATTATGAAAAGCCATAAAAGTCTTTTCTTTCTGATATGTTTTGAGTAATTCTCAAGAGGATACCAAAAGGACAAGGTTGGCTTGTTTTGAGAATATTTCCAGTACTATGAAAATTAAAAAGTCAATTAAAACAGCATTTGTTTCCCGCAAGTGAATAATGAGATTACCTGATCAACTCTAACTCAAAGTAAGGGGTGATTTAGATGGCTGATCGTTTATTTCTATAACTGTCGTTCTGCGAAACTCAGGTGCCAGTTTATAAGACAGTCACACTTCTATCAAAGTTGAAAGTACATCTTGTACAAATTCTAAGTTCGGTGCCCCCTAATAATTGTCTCTTACCACTCAATTTAAAAATACTTTACAATACTTCATTAAAAAACAGAGGTGAAATTGAGCCAAGTTATGCTGTGAATCTTTTGCTTTTCACTGTGATTCTGTGATCTGAACACTTAAACTTCAGGTGTGAGACAACTAGATTCGTGGGGATTTATTGATTTCAAGTTGGTATTCATCATGGATTGATATCAGTTCAAGGGACATTGGAAACCTCGGAGCACTGGACAGCTGTTTCAACCTAGTGTGGGACTCCTCAGCAGTGTGCACTGATGACTCCACCCTGCCAAGGATCGAACCCAGAACCTTCAGGTTCCGTGGCCAGCACGTTACCATTGAGCCACCGGGTCGGAATCCAATGGTCCATATTTCCAACTTCTGTCAGTTCACAATAATCAGTTGGTGGGGAGATATCCGGGAGTTGTATTTACCAATACACATTAATTCACGTGTTCTGGTTACTTTTTGATTGTCCAGTAGCACTTAAAATTGTTAAAAATGGATGCAATGTTGAATATTTATCTAAGTCCTATTCCACTTCAAAGGAAAAGTATAAAGAGTCATTCTCATTTCTTATTAGTTAAAAGAATAAAAATGAATAATTGGGCGTTGAATTTCCGTGCATTTTCATTTGTTGTACAGGGTACATAATTTTTTAAAACTAGACATTATACTGTAGAAGTAGCATTTTGTTTGGGTCTGTATTCCGTACAGATAACTAAAATGTCTGATCAAAACACCAAGATGCTGAATTATGTTCATCAAGCTACCATTATGAGTGAAACAATCAAGAAGGAGTTGAGATATCAAAAGTTATTCACAGAATATGGCATCAACCCATTTAAGAAGAGTAAGTTTTTGAACATTTCATAATTTAGTAGTGTGTCCTTTGGCTGGAAAACCAAATAGAATACAAGAAGCTGATGCTGAAGACAGTAAGTTAAAATAATTGTCAACTTGTTTTTAATTCTGACAAGTTTCGATGTTAATTCGATTAATTTTTTCATATAAAATGGTGAGGCAATCATTTGTGGCTAATTTCACTCAAGAAACAATATTTCATATGTCTATGGTATTATTTTCATTTTCATTTCATACTAAAGTATATCTTGGTGGTTGACAAGATTAAGTTGGAAGGCATACTTCATCTGAACATGAAAAGTGAGACATAAGGGATATGGAGGGCTTTAAAGTCAATGCTATAAGAAAGGTTTCCTTTTCATCGCCATTGTTTTATTCTCTACAATGTTAAATTTACATATTTATCTCAGCATATAGTATCGTTTTGAAGTCTTGCTTTTAGGGTAAACATTAGAACAGTAATCATTTCAAAGTAAAATGTTAAACAAAAAGAGATTATAGCGAAGCAGTTATCTTTTCGAAGACTCATTTTCACATCTATACACTCGTAAATATATAAGTGAAATGATAAAATGTTCTAGACAAGTTTCCGGTCAAAGGTGAAATTTAATCGACAAGTGTATCTAGGGAATTAAATGGTGTTGTCGCGTAAGACAAGACACAATTTCAATAGATTTTATTAAATGCAGTGAATAGTATGATTTAGTATCTGGTAAAATTAATTAAGTAAAAAATGTGATAAGAAATAGATAAATAAATAATTAGATAAAAGACAGAACAGGATATAAACAGAGGTACAGGGTACCTGGTTAAAGCCATGGTGAAGAGAGTGTTTGTACATGTTTCTTTTGAATATACAAGTGAGGTTTGGAGCTGTGAATTGCCAGAGCTTCGGCTAGATATAAGTGTCTAATCCTCATTCATTTTGAATGATTTGGTTGAACTTTGTAGAGAACTTCGAAAGAGGTTTCCAGCAGAGCCAGATATCTAGAGTCTACGAGATGTCCAACAATGAAGCTAGAGATGATTTTTGGCGAAAGTATCGACAATCAGTGTACATCTCAAAGGCTGATGAAACGGAGTATAATTAATGTTTATTTGATTATAGCATCAAATTTCAATGCATTGAAGCATTGGCTAGTAGCGAAGTTATCACTAATAAATTCAGTTAGCAGTTCAGTTGGAGTTGATTGACTTCAAGCAGTTTTCATAATGAACTGATATCAGTCAGAGAACCATCTAAAATATTTGTTTACTGGACATCTATTTCGTCCTAGTTTAAAACTCTTCAACAAAGCACAACCGCAACTTGGTAAGTGGAAGAGCTTGGGATCTTAAGAACTGGTAGCAAGGACTCTATTTTTAAGCCCATAGGTTAATCTAATAATCCACTTACAATTTTTTTGCTTTTATATTTCTGCTGTCAATTGGTTAAGCGGTTTTCAGCTTTCAAAGGTTTAACAGTGATCAACTAAGGTGCAACGAAGCTTTATTAGCGTGGCAGTTTCTAAAGGCAGCTTGTTAAGTAAGTGACTGCATAGTTTGTCTATAGTGACACTGTGAGATACCTTTCATACGAACCGCAGTTAGAAAGCAATCCCCAGCTCATTTGAAACTGTTGAGTAAATTATCCAGTAAATATACAGTATTTTAAATGACTTTTACCCTTAGGAGCTGGAGTAAGGGGTCTGTGGGAAGTAATTTTTATTTATTTCTTCAGTTTTCTTCGCTCTGTGGAAGACAGGTGCTGCACTGAGGGAACATTTCTCTGCACCACTGGACGGAACTGACAAATTGTCTTCTCAAGTTGAAATTTTAGTGACTTATGCTAAAATCCGTTAACTAATGCTATATTTTAGCCAAGGTAACGCTAAGCGTTTCGTCAACTTAGCCTGACTTTAGTTAGTGCAGTGCACTGCGATATGTTTGACCTAGCCTAAATAACACACACATAAATCCCTGCAACTAATGGGGATTCACGATACATAGTTTAGCTTTAAGTCTTAGTTGGCCTGTAGGCGAAAATGCACCAGTTATACAAAGGCAGCCACTTACCTTCAGGAAAGCCTCTACCAATAGGGTAACATTAGGCTCAGTAAAGAAGACCAAAAACTACCGCTTTCCTTCTTAGAAACTGGTTATCAACTGATAATTCAACATAAGAGCTAGACCGGATCGGTCATGGTTGGTGCGCAAGGCCTTCTGATAAGCATTCTATCCGAAAGGATCCACAGCCATGCTATCCACTAAACTCGGAAGTGGTTGTGTACATTGATGTCTCTGAGTGGCATAGCAGCAGTGATGAGCTTCAGGTTCCCATGTTTGTTACATCTGATATCAGTAGCCTCACCTCGATTTATGACCATAAACTTCTGGTCCCCAGGGCTTTCAAACAACGTTCTGTAGACATGATAAAAAGCTAGGGATACCATCAACCGGAACGTCCGTCACTGTGAAGAAAAACCCAGAACTCTACGACAATAAGAAAAAACAGTTACCACTTGTGCTCTAGCCCCCATTATTCTACGCCAACACGACGAGAACCAGACTGATAACCTCGAACTAACAGTGGCGGGAAAACGGGATCGATTCGCTTTCAGTGGAACTGGCTGGCAGCAGTAGCCTCTTCCACTGACATAATTAAGACTTCGGAGTCAACCACCACAGAAACACTTCGTTATGAGAAGTACCCCAAAGGGCCTTCAGGGAAATGTAAGAAGTTTAGGAGGGAAGATGAAGGAAATATGATTTCCCTATACTCACCATGATCCGATAATGGCAATCCTGACAAAAGTATGGTGGTCTTTTGATGTCAATAACACTGAAGCGAGTACGGAAGGTATTTTCCTGTTTAGGATAGACTGGAAGCACTATGAGAGAGGTGGGGTAGCAGTGTATACGAGTAATCGATTGATAGTGCTTTAGTGTTGCCTGACCTTTGACACTTCGTTGTTAACGTTTCATTACCAGGGCTTGATAACATCTTCAGCACTAACTTCATGAACAAGTGAAGCATTTTTTAATGTTACATGAATGTTTAGATAGTGTCTTCATTGACCTTGAGTGTTGTCCACCTATGAGTTTGGGAAAATCTTTTTATCGCACCCTGACCTATTTAGCCGCTTTAGAAATGAAGGGGTTACTGCAGTTCCATAAGCATTGCCTGTTTCCATGTCAGCCAATCGTCACCGACCAACAGGCTGGATTGGAATAAAGGATATATGCATGAAAAAGGTGAACAAAAGCCATGCCTTCCCACCAGCAGAGAACGCCTCAGAGTTCCGGGTATGTACCTGTACCTCCATACCAGGGATGGCAGTGAGTGCCCTTCCTAGATCATTCCCATAAGACCGACCTCATCTCACACTCATCGCTTAACCAATACCGAAACCCGACTGCCGTAGTCAGACGACAGCACCCAAGCACTTCAGCTCTTAATGCCTGTGTAATTACCACACAATAGGTCAGGTTCAGGAATCAGTTGGTAACTGCTTCCGACGACTCATTCCCCGGCCCAACGTCATGAAACAAGCTTCATTGCTTTGAGCACTCGATAGAGACTGCTGTTGCAGTCATCAGGGTGGACCTCACCATTGACCTGCAGCCTATACGGAGATATAAGCAAGAACTCGGGTCAGCCAGGTCCTAATAACACGTTATTTGGAAAGACAACAGGCATATAGCCTACAGCCTCCATCACACGTCACATGCATCATAAGACATAAGCTGTTCCACCACCCATGACATAAATGGCATATCTCCGTAAGAAATGCCCTGGGCCAACAGGTTAGGTACTCCGGAAGGTTTATGTAATTCTGGCTATCTCTCCCATTTTCCACACTGAAGTGGGGTTTTTCACTTCGAAGCCCTAGCACTGAAGCGAAAGACGATGAGTTGGTTCGCAAGTTGATATATGCTTAACAGCGATCCAACGTCGTGGAGTTTAACTTCTCCACCTCGTAAACAAACAAGTCGTACAATATTGTTTGAATGTGCGCTGTCGATCAAGCGTTTGAACAGTGACTCATATGACCACAGCTATCAAAGTCGCCAACCAAGTTGGTTACCGAACTAAAAACGACTAAATGGTCAGAAGCCCAAAATACCCTCGTCAAACAACGAGACACTCGGATACCATAAGAGTATACTGGAAGTTTTTTTCTGTTTAGGAGGGACAGGGAGCACGTGAAGAGGGACGGAGTAGAAGTGTGCAGGATAAACCGGTCTAAAAGGGAAACGGGTGCTGATAGTGTGCTGACAGAGTTCCCAGATTCAACCTGGCAAAACTTTAGAATTAGTTGGTAGGAGGAGTTTATTGACCGCATACTAGCAATGTTATACGGAAGCAGCAACCCCTTCAAGTAATATCCACAGTAACGACAATGGGGTATGACTATGTTATTACAGCTGATATTCTAACGCCCCAACTATGAATTAGGGCAGAACAGAGCTACTTCAAGGCAGTTATGGAGCAGAAACCTGCCAACTGCCATAAAAACGGTTGGGATGTCCTGGAAGATCGGAGATGACACTTGCTGGGGTCAGACGGAAGGCCATCAAATTTGGACCATCTTACCATCAGTGACTATTTACGATCAGAATATGTACAGATTCAAGCTCTTCTCGGAAGCAATGATAACACAGTGTTACTGCTTAATCTAGTTGTCAGTAAACGTATTTATCGGGAGTCCTGTCACCCTTGATTTCGATGCAGCAAGTTAAACCAAGTGGAAATGAAACAACGTCTTTTTATAAGGTCTCGACCTCTGGAAACCAGTAAAGGACAGTGTTAAGTGGGCGATTTCTGAGAATGTTTGCTTAGTAGTAGGGAATACCCGCAAAGCAGACCTTATAGCCTAAAAAGGGCACTGAACCCCTAAGATAAATCAAGAGGAAAACATGGCATGAATGGAGGATTTCTAGAGGTGAATCAGATCATGACGTATCTCAGGCTCTAAATGATCAGTGTTACATTAAAGTGCAGGATGATGTGAAGTCGTACTAGATGAACCTTGTCCAGAAACTTGAGACGAACCTCAACTACCAATTTCAATTTACGACGAAGAGAAAATCTACTGGCCAAGAAGCGTGTATTGGAAAAGGCCTCAGTGAGGAGAACCACTGTGGGCTGAGAATTCCTGAAACTTTTAGTGCCACTTTTGATACTCAGTTCAGTAACTTGGTACCCAGCTTTAACTTATTAACTGCCTAAAATGCCTCCCATAACATCAAGTGTAGAAGATAGAAGAGATCCACAGATTGCAGATAAATCCTGGTATGGTTCTCGGGAAACTGTCATGGTTGAGTACACGAAGACGTTCGCCCATCTGTGTTGAAACAATGTGTGGACGCTTTATCTTATCCAATACGCTATCTCTTTCAGTATTATTTAGATTGACTTTAGGTCTCAAGGCAGGGGAAACGTGCCACCCTCTCTCCCATTTTAAAAGGAGGAGATAAGCGGAACCGGAAGTTCTACCGACCTATAGCACTTCTGCCACTGTTATCAAAGATAACGAAATACCTGATAGATGACCACATCAGGTAAGACTTTGAAAAAATGTGAAATCCGCAAGCTTCAACACGGCTTTCGAAAAGGTAAGCCTTGCACCTGTAACTTGGTAGCCTCTAACAACCATCCTGGTTGATTTTCTCGGTCTTGCAAGACCTCTGACACTGCCTTATATGCTACCGTTTTACTGAAAAATTCTCAGTCAAGAATTAGTTATCTTGGCCAAAGGACTAGTTAGGACTATTCCTGAAAGTAAATTGGGTATGCTCGGTTTGGTAAGCATCAGCATCCATTGTTTCACACGGGGCCATTCTGGCCACGTTACTGTTCCTACAATTTGTGAATGACCTTATATGGGGTCTTAGCTCTCCAGTTATATTCCAGGGTGATGATGTTAAGCTATAGAGAACTGTGAAGTCTGAAAGAGGATTGAACGCATTGCAATAGGACCTCAGAATGCTCTCTGAGTGGGTTAAGAATAATGGGCTAGCGATCGTTATAGGAACCTGAATGAAACTACTCATCAGTTGTTGAAAAAGTTGCATCTGTGGTCACTGGTGCTCGTTATCTGCTGAAGCGGGCACCTCCCCAGCAGAAAAATTTCGGGCAGCTTCATCTATTTGGGAGGGAGACAGAAGAGGCTGAGACAGCCAACTGGTGTCATATCAGTCCAAAATTTTTGTTACCATCATCCTTATCTTCGTTAATTATCAATATTATTACTGACACAACGCAATCTCCTATCCTCTAACAGACCCTACTTATGTCCTTCCTCCATCAGACATCTCGACCCTTCAGTTAACGTCTCGCTGTCAGTAATGTTACCATTTCTATTTCCGTTATCTCCTCTGTTTTTTCCTCCACCACTACCTCTGTCTTATTCTCTCCTATTTTGCCTTATTTGTTAACACTCTCCATGTTATCACTTTTTCTCCCCCCTGAACTTATCAAACTCCTTCTTTTTTCTTTCTCATTTTCTTTCAAATTCTTTTCTCTATTGCTTTCTTTGGTTATTTCCTAGATCATGATATTTTATTAACGATCATTCTGAACAGCAAAGACAAAACACTTGAAGATTTTATCTGCATGATGGGCCCAGTGCAAATCATACATCTCCGTACAAAATCAACACTCAAGCATCCACTAAATTTACCAAAGCTCCTGAAAGTCCTGCATCAAAGTCAGTCAAGAACTAGGGACTTCTCTTCAAGATCTAGAAGTGAGGATGAGAAAATCAACTAGTATAATGAAAGTAGTGAGAATGATTAATCAAGAATTTACTGACAGATAAGAATGGATACCGATCTGTTAAATGAAAACGAACCATTTGCCCAAGATTTCTGTTCAAGGAGAAACTGTTGAGGACCTGATAGCTGTTACACTGCAACCTTTTGTTTACAGACTGCTGTGTAGTATGTGATTTAAGCTTGAATTCGTGCAACCCATTTTTGTATGTCCACTGCAAGCAAAAGTATTCAGTTCAGAAAAACTATTGTCCTGATCAAAAGTGAAATCATCAGTCGACAGTGATATGAGTAACATTTTCTCCTGTAACGCACTCCAATCTACTACCTAGCCCTAAATAGGCTAGGTAAGCCCGTTTTATATAGCGTTATTTGAAGCCTAGATAAGGTGTTAGTAACTTCTTTGGCAAGGTCCATTTTAGGGAATAAGTTAAACGTAATCTAGCTGGATGATTTTCATGACCGACAAACCTGAACTAGACACCAGTTCAGAATCGCTGATCAACTTTTCAGACTGAAAAAACTTTTATTCTGTTTAAATTTGAAAACTGAATATTAGGCTCGCCAGTCAGCACAGACTTTTTAATTCATAGTTCTCTGAAATTCACCCCTTTAATAGTAAACATTTTCTTTCTCTGCACAAATTAAAATCTTATTCACAGAACATTTTGCTGAAGTTATAAGACGTGCTGCTTTGGAACCGCCGAAGAAATACATTGAGCCTCAAACAGAAAATCAAGAATATGGTTGGATAAGTCAGCCATTAGTAAGTTGATTCTGCCTAATGTACACGGTTTTGTGTTTTCCAAATAATCAATTTGAAGGTTGCTTAAATGACTCTGTATTGAGAGAAATAATAGTACAATCAATCATGGAGTATTCTTTAGCTCTGCCATTTCAGTTCTGAAGTCATAAATACGTAGTAATTCTGACTGCTTACAGCGTTGAACCCAGGACATCTATGGTAATTGAATACTTTGGTATCAGTAGTCGTAATCTGTTGATTATTAGACTGGTACTATTATCAATGAATATTTTTCCAAACTCTAAACTCAGTTCACTTAACGGATCGTCGGATTGATTCTATGAGGAAATAAGAGGAAATGGAGACAACTGTTCAGGGTTTTTTAAGATTTCTTCTGTTTGTTCATATCCTATTGGTTGCAGATGAAAATATTTTTGTTTTAATTCATTTATCTGAGTTTATCCTGTATTTATGTTTCTCATCTAGATGGAAATTGATCGGTCTGATTCAAGGTTTTATCATCCCAAAGTGGCATGTGAAATGACTAAATTCATGGATGCGTACTGGAAGTTAAATGAACAGCGTAAAATGAACTCGTAATTTGCAGTTGGGTACCAGTAAAGTATAGACATGACCTGAAAGGAAACTTTTGAAAACTTAAAATAACTCGGTTGGAAGATAATCTCCTTACGGTTCTCTTCTCTTTTCTCTGCCCATCCATACCTCTCCTTTGATACGTATGTCTACCTAGACAAAGAAGTCTATGGCAATATTTTTGTAAAACAAAATGAATTTTATTTTATTTACCAGTGTAGCATTCCTTATTCACATAGATATATACATAATTTACAAGACTATTTTCGTAATTATTAAGTTAGTCCATACTGTAGTGCAATACAATTGCAATACTAATAAAAATCATATTTCACACTTGATTATCAAATGTTGAACAGTATGAATTTCTCTATGAACCATTAAGAGGGTATACGCAGAGAGAATAAATCCCGGTTACTGGACTGTGAATGTTTGTGTTTTATTCCTTAGGTTTGAATCGATGTTTGTCAAACAGGATATGAAGTTGGGGTAATAAGTTGGATCATCTGACATCTTGCTTTATTATTTCTGCAATATATTGGAGGGTGTCTATATTGGTGTGGTGTTTGGCAAGCTGACAACATTTACAAAACTGAGAGGTGATATTAGTTAATGTCCGTTCCTACATTTCTACACTGAGACCCGCACTTGACTGTTTCACAGAAATATCAGGGTTCATATATTAGAGAAACATGAAACTACCTCAAAGTTCTCGACTAATTTTGCTGATATCTGTCACAAAATATGGAGCTGAGCTTGCGACTGCTGCTCTGGTGATGAGACTGCCCTAATCACACACTGCATTTATTGAACATCATAAAATTTTCAATTTTATTCTTAATAATAGATCCCTAAATCTCATTGTATCATTATCTTTGTTTCGGATGTCCCCTTTTAACTAACCCTGTAACAGTACACCATATAAATCACTGTTCACCTTTATTTATTCTCTGCATATTCAGCAATACTTATTTATTTAAGAAAAAACGAGCAATGAACTATTGCTGCTAATTGTGGCAGTTGACATTGGACAGGAAAAAAACATTTTTAGGCTTAGTTAACCAAGTACGAACATATCTAGTTTGAAAATCAAGGGTTTTCTGAAGCCAGTGGAGAATCCTCAGATGTTGATTGGTTGCGGGATGTGGGTTGGTATTCAATAAGTACATAGCTTATAAACAGTCACATTCTGCATGGAGTTGAGACGGCTGACCGACATATTATTTGGATTAACACAACAATAAGGTTGTAGAATACAATAATTTCATCAGATTTCGATGGAAGTATTCCAATACTTAAAAACGAATAATAACATCAACACATCAGAAAAAGTATATGATGTAGAGTCGATTGAAACACCAATTCGTACTACTCTGTATGATAAACTGAGTCAGAGTAGTCTATCATTGAGTGGCACAGTGATATTATGCCCAACATTTTATCAACTACTCTCGCCAAATAGTTTTGGTTGAAAAATTAGTCTTTCACAAGTATTAATAAATATATCTTCACGTTTATCGCAACTTTACTGCATTTTGGAAGCGTTTTTCAATAATAGCAGCAACACGATATTCAGTATTAAATTTTTGGAGGTACCTATTAGATGAGCATGTAAAAAGCAGTATATGGAAGCGAAAAGAAACCGAGATCACTTATCAGACACAGAGACAAACAATATTAACGTATGACATTGTATATTCACATAGCTGTACAAGTTATCACACTTCATATCAGGACTAAGATGAAAAATAAAGTAGAAAGTAGTCAAAAGTCTTTAAAAAAGAGCAAAGAAAAATGAGACAGTATTGAAATTTAATATGACGACTAAGATGAATATAGTGTTTGGATACACCTGTGCCACTGACCTAGATTCTGTACCATATAACGCAGAGTCTCTAATTACTAGTTTCTATCGTGATTCAGACCTCAACCAGAAAGTTTACATTTCCCTGCATGGCTCAAGCCAACAGTCAGATATTGTTGTTATAATACTTGTAATTTCCCGTTGCTATACAGGGCCAAATTGCTCTGCCTATGTTGGCAGATGGACTCCTATGCGGATGCCTCAGCACTGCTCACCCTTCAAGATGTTATATAGAATAACATCACTCACTGGGATCTAGGTACATCCGCCTAAGGAGTCCTAAATAGGACGAAACCCATGTCCTGGATTCCACTGTCAGTCACCAAATGAATACGATGGTCATAGACTTCATGGAGTGGTGCTACGTTTTAGTCTGGCAGACTCTAACATTTTTCAGCTCAGACCTAGATCACCTGACACTGTGCAACCTGACAGATGGTGACTAGGTATGTGTCACGCATGACTTAGCCTCCTCAGCCGATGAAGGTTCATGGCCTCACTGACTGAATTTCCTCTTCCGTATTACTCACGCGGAAACATCACGACACAACCTTCATTTCAAAGGCAACGGTCGTCAAACACCAGAAGCTTTTTCATGTCCTCTACCTTTAATAACCATGTTTCTCAGTCAGATGGTTGAACAAAGCTAGCTGAGATGTAGTACACTCGACCCTTAGTAGACAGTGGCATATCACTCTGGAGCCGAAAGTGGCGTAAGCTCACGAAAGTAAGCAAACCTTTGTATCCATGAAGAGATTTCGTCACTCACTGACCCACTAGGTCCGATCGAACTTACCAAGTGAGTAAAGTGATCAGTGCACTCAACCATTTCACTCCTTATTGTTAAACAAGTCACTATTAAAGACCAGTGATGCATCAACAATTTACACTTGAAGAGTGAGAAATACATCTCAAATGTTTTCAGATTTTCGAAAAACTCTGAATCCTGTCAGCCTCTTCTTATCTGCGTACTCCAGATTTACTAAGGGTTCTGGCGTGATAACAACAATCTGTATAAAGTCAGATGTGGAGATGCAGATCTCCAAAAGTGCGTCTATGATGAGGTTGAATAAAAATGTAGAGAGTGAACATCCTTTGTAAATACCACCCGAGTAATACAACTCCCGTGATAACTCATCATAATCTTTAACACACCCATGGGTGTTTCAGTAAACAGCCTTCAACAGAGTTGTGTGCTAACTCAGCACCCACGTCAGTGAGAGACGCCTTCACAAGACCTCTTGATCGACGGAATCAAATGGCATCTTCACTTCAAGACGTCAGTAAATGCGTCTGGGTTTCAGAAACTGGTGAAGTGTGAACATTTGGTCGATACACCCACATCTAGGTCTGAAACCTGCTTGATTCCCTCGGACTCACTGTTTCTGAGGTTCCTTTGGATGTCTAATAATTATAAACCTTAGAATTTGAGACATTATTTTCACTAGACTGTTTTTGCGTGATCATTATGAAAAGATTTCTCTCCTTTCTTGAAGATGGGCAAAATCAGTGATTGAGACTAATCACTCACATACCACAATCAGGGACGTTGCTTCTGAGTCAACCGATTTCTTGTAAGATTGGATAAAGTTCACTAGTGATGAAATTCTCAGTAACAAGTGGCAAATATTATTTTAGTGTTTGTATCTATCAATGGAAAAGAAATAAATCTGTTTTGTATTGCATTCACTGGGAAATACAAATATCAGAATAATGAATATCATTTACCGGATTTTTTAAAATCATCACATACGAACCTGATTTCGATATCTATAAGATGGTATACACTTTACTCGTGAGTGCCCACAAAATTAAATTGATCAAATTTTCTGTTCAACCATAAACCTAGTTGACTGGAAATTGTGGTTGATGTTGAATGACTGGATGCAGTCAAATGGTTAGTATACTTGTTACGGTCCTACAGAGAGTCACTTCTCCTTGAATAGGTAGATAAGTTGTAAAGTTTCTGACATTAATGGTGGGTTTTACAGGCTAGGAAATTTCAGCGGACGTCATTTTCCTTCGAACAGCAGACACAACATGATGATCGGTGCCAAAAAAAACAATAAAACTTCCTTCAAGTGTTTCTAGTAATTGTTTTCAATCATCCAAAACCAAAACACAGTGTTTTGTAGTATTTATTTATCTACCTTAGCTCTGGCAGTGAAAATATAATCAGTATGATTCAGTCAGGACCAAGCGTTGTAACAAGTAATTGTTTTACAGTGAACGATTATTATATTATTATTTTCTCCTTGGGTTCCTAGTGGAACATAGGGCTTCAGTAGCACGCTTCCATTGCACTCTCTTCTCTGCAGTCTTTTCAACCTGGCCCCACCACTGCCCACAAGCTTTCCTTTCTTCCTCACATGATCTTTTTCATGTCACCCTCACCTCGGACGCCCAACTCATCGTTTTCCCTTTGCCTTCCAGTCGAGGGCTGGCCTGACGCGTGATGTCCCCAGTCGGCCTTCTCAGTGTATGCCCATCCATCTCCACTTTCTTCTCCATATTTGTTGGGCGATAGGTTCTTGTTTGGTTCGTTGCCAGCCAGGATTCCTTGTTGCTTATTCTTTCTGGCCATCTGATCTTCAGTATGGAGTGAGCGTGGGCGGCTGCTGTTGATGAATGTCTGTGGTTTGTTGGAAGTGTTTTTCGTGACGCGCCAAATTTCTGAACCAAATAGCAGCACTGACTTGACATTGGTGTTGAAAAACCAGATCTCATTCTTTGTGTTGAGTGTAGTAGATCTCCGCACTGATCACTTCAGATTAATGAAAGCCTGTATTACTTTTCCGATCCTGGTCTTGACATCCTCGCCTGTGCCCGTACCGCCTGTAGTTGAAACGATGCTGCCTAGGTGGGTAGGTGAAAGAGACTACTTCCTTTAGATTTCTCCTGTTGATGGTGTTGTTGGTTGAGTATCTTCATCACCTCGGTCATCTCTACATTCACTTGAAGTCCCGTCTTCGCTGCCCTGCCTCTTCTGTCAACTTGTTAGTTTTTACCTGTAGATCTTCGAGTTTGTGCGACAAGATACTAGACATAAATCATCATCGTCGGCGAAATCAAAATCTTCTAGGGTCTTTTCATCGGTCCAGCCAGCGTATGCCCATCTTCTCGCTCCTCACAGTTGTCTGCTGCATGACCCAGTGAACGAAAAACCAGTCGAATCACGGATACCTAGGTAGCAAATTTTGTAATTACAACACTGAATGACTCATGTTTGGACCTATAAGGAAGCATCAATTCCTTCGAGATCGAAGATACGCACTGCTAATGTTTGGCAACAACAATAAATTTAAGACAAAACTTTTCATGAGTAAAGTAGCACTTTATATTCATCATCCGGGATGCGCGTTTCGCCCTATTTGGGACTCGTCATCTGAATGTACCTGCATCCATAACTCGAAATTTCAAAACGTTATCCGCTGAAGCTTGATACCCAACTCTTGTGCAACTGGTATCACTTGTTGTTTATTAATACTTGTAGTTTCCAGCTGCTATCCAGGACTGAATTGCTCGACCTCCGCTGGCATTCTTGTAGCATTTCTTTTTAACGACTTCCGTGTCAAGTTATACAGTCGTATTTGTAATTAGTAAAATCTCAGATAGTTGCACCAACAAACTACTCAGTCAACATACACATGATACAACTGGTGGTGGTGGGGAAGGGGAAAGACTGGTTCAAGGTGAAGAAATAGAAGGGGAGTTGTTAAAAAATGAAGAATTGATTTCAAGATGTGAGATGAGGGTCATGTGCTGTCAAAGAGGCGAATGAAGATAATGATGATAATCAAACTTAAATATCCAACGTGAAGTGAGATGTAATTAACAAACAAATTTAACCGCATTGTTAAGGCCAAGGTAGAGAAAGAGGTTTCACAATACTCTTTTGATTATGTATGTAGCGAGTGCTTGAGAAATGCATAATTAAGGGAGTAGTCCAATTTAGTCTTGTAAATTACCCTAAAAGATAAATCTCGAGAAGCTGGATGAATTAAACTCCCCAGGTGCTCATAATTTGATGAAGTTGTTGTTTTCATTCACCTTTGTTTAACCGTACTCGATAGTGTTCTGAAACGCGTTTTCGAAATATCCCGCTTACAATATCCAATATGATGAGCTCTATAGGAGGATGTGGATTTATAGATACACACAGAAGAATTGTTGAATCAAACAACAGCTCGAGAATATCAGGCTGAGACTGGTAGAATGGAGGGTACTACCGATACACTTCGATAGACTGCTGTTCAGTACATCAGCTGTCGCATCCCCTTTGAATTCGAAATTCATGAAATAAAATTTCTTTGGAACTGTAATAGGGAGAAGGCGATCTGTTTCTCTTTTATCAATACATCTTCTAAAGTGTCCATGATTCAGTGGTGCATTTCCAAGAGATCTTATGAATTCTAGAACACGGAGAATGAATATGACTTCTTTTATTACTAAGAGGTATCCAAATTTTAAAATTGGTGAACTGTCCAATACAAGTTGGTTCATAATGTACTTACTGATCTTTGCAGTGTATCATCATCCTTTCTCTTGTTGACATCACATCTAGGAAGTAAAACGTCGAATTGAATTCTTTTTCGGCAGCAAAATTTTATAGATAGGTGATAATCCCTTAATGGTTAAGGCAGTTCATCAGTCGAACATGTTTCGTCAAAAGTAAGAAAATTATCTTCCATATACCGTTTATACGAATAAGGTCCTGAGATTGTTTATTTAAGTGGTCCACTTTCCAAACTTGCCATGAAGGTGTCAGTCAAGACAGGGACTACTGAAGGCCCTGTTGTGACTCTACCCATTTGGTTATATATCACACCCATAAATCTGGATTGTACATCAAAAACACATCTTAATATCAGCTTCATTTAGTAGCTCGTTGGTATTCCAATAGAAATATTGTTTGACTCAATATAATCACTTGGATAAAAAACGGTTTCTACAAGTGGAATAATTGTAAATAAAGAAAAAAGTCAAGCGGCATCATACGCTAACCCGTTACTTTGATTGCTTCGATCCGATGGACAAAATCAAATCTATTGGGAGGGCCCATATCTAGGCATATTTAAGAATTCAAGAATTTCAGTAAGCTGTTTCAACCCTGGGTAACAAGGGGAACTAGGCACATACAATATTGGATGAAGAGGAATGACATTTCTATATAACTTAGGCAGACCTTAAAAACGGGACCATGTTGAATGGGATGGTCAAATATGTTCATACATATCATTTTTCCTACGATTTTTGATATCTGACAAAGTGTTAAGTATTCTTCGAGCAGTTTCAGTTTATCTCAGTTAAGTGATTACCTGATAACTATCCAGGTTTGAAGTCAACGATTTTATCAGCTTTGTCATAGAATGCGTAAACAAAAAAGTGAAATATCTTCTGTAAATAAATATACCTTAATATAGGGGGTTCTGTTATTTGTTGAGTAAAACAAGGAAATGGAAGAAGACTTATGGAAACTCATAATGACTTTCTTCTCAGAGCTAGATAGATTTGACTTACACCTTAGGAATAGCTACTGTTACAACTAAGCGGTTAGTTATTCAAAGCACTCAAGTTCAGTTGTATCAGATTGTTGTCATTGGAGTAAAGATAACATTCAGACAGTGGACAGAAGAATGTCTATTCAAGGAAAAAATCACATGTTCGGAATTCAACATTATTTCTGTTAAGCCATATACATGACAGCATGCTGGGTTTTTGTAGTTACATCTATTTCTGAACTAAGAAAGGGGTAATTACAATCAGTGTTTAAAGGTCGCAGATCAGGTGCAAGTTTTCCATTAGGCTTATGAAGTCAATTTTCAACTTAACTTCCAACTTCCTATTCATTTAAACTGATCCTACAAAGCAGTGAGTTACTACTTTTACTGGCTGCGTTTGGGCGAAACAAGAGTAGCACACAAACATACAAATTATCGGAAACAACTGATGATCAAAAAATGTGATCTTAGTTTCGTTCAGGATCAACAGTACTAGCGCATAAAAAGGCTTCAATGAAGTTTATTAGCTTACTATGTCAGGTTTTTATAACTATTGAAAAAATCCCATAACCTGTAAATACAAATTATCAATCAGTCCTGAAGTGTTCTGGAAGTTACTAATAGTAAACTGATGAAAACGTCCAGTCTGCAGTGTGAAAAAGTGACAAATTGAACCGCTCAGGGAAATAAACGCAATTGATAATTTAGGAGTGTGATTCACTGATTTAGTCATAAAATCTTTAGTGAATCTCATCTGTGAAACGTACGAAATCCGTTTCAAGAGATTGCGCTTATTTAAATGGTTACCGTCTACATTTGATGTTAACAACAAGTACATCTTTCTGAAAAACACTGAATACTGAAAGGTTTTCTAGAAATACCTAGGCTGAAGTGATTTTATTGGTAACTTTTATTCAAAGTAAAGGTCAAATCCATTCACTAAAGGTGATTGATCAAGTGTTGATAGTTTATTTTTCTGCTGAACTGTAACAATAGGTTTAAGGGAATGGCTATGAGGCTAGTTTACATTTACGTGATTTAAATTCTAAGGTAATCAAGTAAACCTGTAGGTAAATAAATTGCTTCAGCTGAAGGTCATTTATTCGAATTAGCGATTCATTAGTTCACTAATATTTTTCCAATGAATTATTATTCAAAGAACCTGGTACTACTTGTCCAGGTTCATCATAATCTGTTGTGATGATTGTAATTGGACTTGATGCAATTGGAGTCACTGAAGACACCTCGTCTGAGTTTTTCTTCTCTTCTTCTTCCTGTGTTGTTATGGGTTTGCTGTTCATTGAAGGTTCTGGTGGTGCACCCGGTAGCTCAGGTTCGACCTGGTGTAAAAGTGAAAAATTCGGTTGTAGTTTTGGGAAGTGATAGTGAAAATTAATCCAGGGAAAACCATTAGAAGTAATTTATTAAGTTCATTTGATATCTAGAAACAATCAGTGAACAGATTTTTGTTTCTTTACGAATTCAAATTCAAGCAGACACAGATATTTTATCCAAACACGAAGACAGATTTTCATTACACACCAATATATTTCAGGAAAACCTGAAGAGTTTTTATTCTTCTGGAAATCGAAACCCTGAAGTTCTGAAGTGACTTTGCATCTCGGCATCATTCACTGGAATCCCAGAAAACTTGCCACTGAAGGACTATTTAGAATAGCCTTAGTGGTAAAGAGTGAGACTAACCTGACATTTTCTGTTACTGAGTTTACTCTGCAGATTTAATCAGTCAGTAGGATAGTTATTGCTTGTCCAAAGTAGAATGGTTGCATTATGCATAGAACAACTTAACTTTGAAGATGTTTTGAGGTCGATAAGCTTCCCCTTAGCACTTGAAGATGAAAACACACTATATCTTGGCTGAATAGTAATAATAAGTAAGTTCTCAAAACAAAGAAATACATGAAACACAAGGATCATGAAAAATTACTGTTTTATAAATATGAGAAAATTGTCGGTTTATACCTATGCAGCCTGTAAAATGAAAACGTGTGGTAGCTTCATGTGTAACGTTTGCTATCTAGAGGTAATGTATCACTGATTCTTGTTACCAGTTTGTTCTAAACGTTTATATAATAATTTCCTGTTTGGAAATCCTCCACTTGATGCAGTTCATGGAGTCAATACAAACCTGTTAGACAAAGGTGTTGATTAACTGTGGGATCTTCTGAATCTTCTGTAAAAAGTTATGTGGATGTTTGGCAACCTTCTTAGTCTTTTTCAAAAGTAAAACGGAGTGCTAGTATAAATATTTAGTGATATACATTTTAAGATTAAGGCCTTAATCGCTTGAGTAATTAGTATCAGTTCTAATAGTTTGGTTACTGAAATACCCTTTTTCTCAAATGGAAAGTTAATTGGCATATGCAAGTAAGCCTGTGGCGAACATAATGAAAGTCGGTTTTCTATACAACACCAAGTTAAATTATTCTTGAGGACGGTGAATGGATAAAATTTCTTCTCTTCTTAAGGAGTTCCAACTATGAAAAATAATAACTTACCAGCTGGAAGTCGGCATTATATAAACAGATCTTTGAACTCACGCTGGTATTCATCATGGATTGACATCATCTGGAGAAATAGTGGCAACCTGAGAGCACTGAACAGATGTTTATTCCATTATCATTCTTTATTTGGAGTACGATATTAAGGAAGAGAAGTTTAGAGCCTAACTCTACATTTAGGAATAAGTTGTTAAAGTGATGAGCACCAGTGAAAGTTTGTAGCCGGTTTTTAAAGTTTATATGCCTATCACAAGTAATAAACTTATCATCTATGTATTTCTGTTGGATATGATTGTTCATCTGGCTGAATTTTCAATTTATAATCAACTATTCAGTCACTGATGGTATATGTACTAGATTGTAAATTTTTAGTTCTCAATAAACATTTCAGGTTAGTGTGATCTTTTTTTATACGAAAAATGCATTTATTCATCTCATAAATGAATCCCTTTCTCAACAACTACTTGGATACTGCACTTAGGTTTTAACTGACATAACTTCATTTCAAACTGAAATTAAGCTTAAAAGGAGCTGATGGAATCATAAAAAGCCCCAATGTTGTTTTACTGGGTTGTTTGTGGTAAGCGTCGAAAGTCACTTTGAGGCCAACGATGGACTTATACGCTTTTCATGCATATGCATGTGAGCTAAATGTAATCCGCTCACTTAAAAAAGCATTTATAGGAAATGTAACTTAGTTCCAGGTATGTATTGAACTTATCATTCTACTACTCATTACACAAACCAGGACTTCATTTCTTATGCTTGAAAATATCCTGGTATGATTCTCCAGAAATCCTAGTAATGATTTAACTAGACAGATAGATTTTGTAAACAATTGAAGAGGAGATGAGGTTCATTCTTTGATAATACTATTTTATTAATAAAGTTATAGTTCAACCATAATAAATTATTGAGTACACAATCCACTGTCTGATTTTCTGACGATTGGTACTCACTATGGATACTTTGGAGAATCATAAAGAAAAGTCAACAGACTGCCACAGAAAAAGGTAGGCTTGTTTTACATATATTTGTAGTTCTAAAGGAGTGTTTCGAGGCGAACTGAAAGGAAAAGTAGTGCACACCTCATCTTATTTCGCTCTTAAAAAACTGAAGATTAAATTATAAATTAATTAAGATTTGAAGATGTGAATGAAATACTTGCGTATTTTTGAAAGCAAATTCGCATTTATTGCATATACTTCTAAAATATCATTTAAATTTTGTATTGTTGACTTTGTTCGACCCGAAACTGAGTGGGCTCTCTTGGTAATGTTATCAAGATATTGCTGACAGAGATCCATCATTTTGATTGGAAAAAATAAACAGGGAGAAATTAGGAAAACGTAGATACTGACAACTAATGCAGATGAATAAGACAAGACTTTTGCGTCTCAGAAACTTAATGGATAACCCTCAGGTGTTTGAAATGATCGCTTTTGAGAACATTATTACTCAAGGTGACACAGTTACATCGGTACTAGACACTACTCAACAATTTTTTAAGTAGCCTGATATTTAGGCAATAAATGAATATTACTTTTTTTCATAGATCAGTACTTCGAATTACCGGTACTTACACTCAAAGTCATTTCCTCATGGAAATCAATACTGACTCAACCATGTTTTATATTACTTTTTCTGTAATACAATGAATTACAATTTTAGACAGTAAATCATCAGTTATCAAAAGACCAGCTGATACTTCATCTAGATCTTGGTTTCTAAAACCACTTTATACATATAGTATGTTACGATCGAAGAAATTTCGTTTGCCATTTTGACTGACCTTCTTTCTAGAATTAGTTCTGAAAAGTATGAATGTGGTTTGCACCACTTATTGACACCAGTCAAATATACATTATGAAACAAATGGAACTATACAGAAACTTCCATTCATCAGCTAACCAACGATATACACATATGACATCGAGGAAAACGTTATTTCGGTATTCTGAATTCATAATAGCATGTTAATTTTAAAAAGTTTTGAAAGGTGTTAAAACGTAAGACTGACAGGGCAGCATTAAGCTGTGATTCAGTAATCCGTATTTTCCCAATTTAAAAATGTTCATTTCATTTTTAACGTTAGATATCTCATTGAAGCCTCTTCGCAACCTAGTTACATATATCAGTTTCAAATATAAATTTGTATACAGCCAAAAAAAGGAAAAGAGCTCTTAAAGGCAGATGTACCAACAGAAGTTGTTTACCTTGGTTTGTTGCTTCTTCAGCAGTATATGAAAAACAACAATCTCACCAACCAATAACACACCACCAATTAGAAGTCCACATCCAAGTAATGTAAACATCCCACCGACTTCCTCAAAACCATAGCCTACATCAATCGAAGGTGGTTCACAACGACTTGTGTTGCTGGCCCACCACTTAGCTCTTAAACCATCCAGTGTGTAATCAGCTTCCAGGGCATAGATCCTGTTGTAGAATGAAAATGAAATAAATTGATGCGAAAGACGTTTACAAAGAAAATTTATCATCTTAAAAGTGTGATGATAATCTGGCCATTATCCCTATGATTACAAGCTTGATTGCGAATAGCTAAATCCAGATGGTACTTCTCTGCATATATGGCCGTTTCACCAATTTTCTGTTCCACAATCGACTGAAATGTGATATGTAAACAGTGATTAGATAAAGGAGGCTAATTTGTCATCTGAAAAAAACATGCTGTCTGTCACATTAAAAAAAAGTAATTCTACGATCCACTAATGATTATCTCAAAGCTGACTACTATGTATTTAGTAATACACACAGTTTGACTAACACATTTAGATATTTAAAAGTGTCATCAATAGCGAGAAACAACCAACAGATTTAATAGTTTGCTAACTGAGTCTAAGGTGCAAGTGTTGTACACATATGTATGTATACTGTTTGGAACAAATTTATTTAAGTAGAATGGTCAAAAGTCTGCCAGTGAATAGGCAGAGGCCAGTACCGAAGAGTGTCTGAAGCAGAAACATTAATATAAGAGTGAAACTTGAACACTATGGTAGAATGTAATTTCAATTTTATTGGTTTATTCGATTTGTTAAACAGAGGAACAGTATTGTTTAATGGATAACGACGCAAAGATAATTTATTGTCCATAGTCATATCAAGATAACTACACTACTTTGAGATATCCTTCATATAGTCCTAACTTCTTCGCCTCCTTCATATGGGTAGTAGGACTTACAACATATCCATAGCAGGTACTGAATCATTCCTCTTGCATGTATTAGGTGTTGATTCGATAAACAACAATTCAGTTATCAATCTCCCCCTCCACTCTGCTGTGTTAGTTATAAGCATTTAAACCATATCCCATCCTATTGTGTTGTTCTGTGTAATTTCCTGCATAATTACAACTGAGCTTTTTTCTAGTTCCCCTATATTACTAGTTACTATCTACCAGTTTAGACCTAACTAGAATTTTGTGCTCGGATAGCCTAATTTACTCTGATGGAATATTTTGACCTATGTATTTGACACCACAATCATTGCATGGGATTCAGTAAAATAAATTATTCCGCTTAGTTGAATCAATAGGATCTCTGAACCTACAAAACGTATTTCTCAGTGAGCTTGTAGGTTTAAATGCCACTCTAATCCTGGCCCTATTAGGAATCCCACGTAATGTCTGTGAGGAGCGTTCCTTGTAGGATAATACTGTAGAGGTTTTGAATCCTCTCTTCACACTACCACCACTATTATTATTAGCATTATTATTACTACGATCAACACATATGTTACTAATATTGGTCATATTTTTCTCACGATTCCTAAGGAACTCATCAATTAATTTAGGAGGATAATTGTTGATGAGTAAGGTATTTTCAATGTGTCTGGTTCCTTGCCTTGGATCTTCTGGCTCTCTAGTGAGTTGTTGGGTTCTGTTCCTTAGGCATTTTACCAAGCCAACTTGAACTGGCTCATGGTAGATGGTTTGAAGTCTGAGTAGTGACTTGATTGTGAAGGCTTTGTGTAGATACTAGTGTCCAAACTCCCACTTGGTTTTCGTTTTATTCTACAGTTCAACATCACTAATTTTCCTTCACTATTTTCTAATTTATAGGTGAATTGGACTGCGTTGACTATTCACTCTACACTTTAAAGGGAACTGTGTATGTGCTCTGATTTCCACAACATAAACGTGTCATCTACATATGAAAACTATACTTTCTTAACCGAACTAAGTATTTCCAACCCATCGGTTCCCGGCTATCCATAAATATATCCACCAGAATAGGGGATATTGGTAGTCCTATGGTAACTTCTTCTGTTTGTTTGTATATTCTATTCTGAAACCTAATGTAGAGGTGAGGCACACCTGCACTCCAAGTGTGATATCATCTAATGGTACCCTAGTGAGTAGTATAAGCTCATGGTCATTATCTAGCTCATATCTTACTGCTTCCAGAGCCGCACCAGTAGGTATGTTAGTATAAAAACTTACTAAATCAAAATTAACCATTTTTTCATTGTCATCTAAATGTATGTCATATAATCTATGCTTCAAATCATCGAGTTAGTAAGTGTTGAGGTAGAAAGGTTTCTAATTGGACCAAGTACCATTGCTAAATATTTAGATAAGTCATAGTTGGAAGTGTTTCTAAAGTCTACTATGGATCTAACAGAATAACCTGGCTTAGGAATATTAATAGCACCATAAATCCTACTGGGATTATTAGTTTTCGACATTAAATTAAATCGTTTCGACTCACCTAGAAACGACTTATTATATCCACTGTGGTCTTTTAAATCTTATTCATATTAGTGTACATGGGTTTCTTAACCTCTTCCTATGGTTCTGTTTCTACACGTTCCCTGACTTTCTGAACGTAATCAGATTTGTTTAACACTAGTGTTGAGTTGCCTTTGTCCGATTTAGCAATTACTATATTATTGTCATTCTAAAAGTTCTTCAAAGTCCCCTTTTCTGCTTTCTCCGCATTCTGTTTCGTTCTCTTTCGTCGCTGCAGTGTTAAAGAACATTATGCTCGAACCTTATCTTATTCAGAATGACATCTTCAGGTTTCAGTTCATTAACTACCACATTGTAGTTAAGTCAATTCTCCAGTACCTTTACTTCTATTCAGCTTAAAACCCTAGTTGAGAGATTGACAACCCACGTTATTTTGTCGTTGACTGGCAATGTGCTACGGGGAATTTCATCATTGTCTACTGGATACTTTTCCTTCAATAACTTGTTCAACTTCTTGCTTTGAGTATTCCTAGATTATCCGAAGGCAGCTGATCTCGCTTTGTTGAAGTTGTCGGTCAGGACCTCATAATCTTTCCCATTAACTGTTTGCTTAAGTTTACATTTTAGTTCTTCAGTATAACTATGGATGCTATGCAACTTCTCGACTATCAACTGAATTTCTTTTTTTGGACAGAGTTTGTTGATGCACTGTATAGCTGCTTTCACCTTGTCTGTTGGAATTAGGGTACGTGGATGTAGATATTTGGAGTGATTTTATTTCCAAGACACCGAATATTGAATATACGATGGTTTATGAATCCGGCTTCTGTCTGTGAAAGTCGTGTGAGTTTGTTGACTAGTGTCTGGGTATGAAGACCATATATTTCATTAATATGAGTAAAACCTGTGAAAGAGTACCACTTGACAAAACAATGAATTCAGAGTAGTTTAGCACTAGAAATTAATGATTAAAGTCCTGGAAAGCTGAAAATGTGCATATAAATGCTGAGAATACATACATGTATTCGGTGTAGGAATTCACATCTATCTTGAGAATTCGCCAGTCTGGTTTTGAAATCAACTGGTATGATAACTTGGGCAGTATGAAATCCAGTGTTTCATGTGTGTATTAGCACTTACTGTATATGTCTAAGACACAGAATAGACGTTTACTTCGTCAAATATTCCAGCCAATGGTATGCAGTACAGCAAATAGCCAGAAAGATTATGACTACTTGACAACGGAATTTCACGTAAGCGTTAGAAATACCTATATGAATCCTGAGATTTGCAAATGCTTTCCAAGTTGTGCATCAGTTTTGTTGCACACAAGTTTATCCAGACTAGTTAAACAAATTCACTTGAATTGACCAATTAGGTTTTCATAAAATTCTTCACATTATTAAACTTGAACAGTACGAAAGCAACGAGTGTAGCAGGATAATATCAAGGAAAATTTTAGTGTTTCGAGGATTCTTCGCAACTGTCTACAACCTTAATACTATCAAAGTGCACATATTTTAGGCACTGAGCATGCGTTTACCAGGTTGATACAAAGCTAATTGACAGGATCAACTGGTTACGTGGGTAATGGATAATATGAACAGTTAAAGTAAAAGTGATCGTTAGAAATGTGACAGGAAAGATAACTATTTATGAGATGATTGTGTAAGTATTCTTCAAAAAGAGGGTGAAAGGGTGGATGGAAAATAACTGTCAAAGATTCCATAACTTTAAAATGTTCTAAGTCTACACTCAGACAAAAAATTAACGTTTGAAACAGAAAAAGGTCCAATGATGTAACAAAAAATGTGCATAAATGTTATTTCAATTTGACGTTTATGGGACTTATTGATTACAAGTTGGTATTCATCATGAAATGACATCAGCTGGAGAAGCATTCGAAACTTTCATCCTAGTATCGGACTACTCAGCAGTACGCACCCATAACCCTTCCCCGCTAGAGTTTGAACCCAGGACCTTCGGGTTACGCAGCCAGCAGGTCACCACTGAGCCACTGGGTTGGAGTCTACTGGTCTATCTTTCCTACTTCTACCAGTTTAAGACTTAGCACAACCTCCACCTAGTGCTATCCTTGAGTGATTGTCCTCATATCCGACTTGGTTTGCTTCACCGGCCACGACTTCTCATTAAAAGTAAGAAACATGGACCATTGAGTTCCGACTCAGTGACTCAATAGTAACGTGCTAGCGTGGAACCTGAAGGTCCTGGTAAGGTCCCTAGCGGCACTGGGTCTTAGATTGGTACTGCTGAGGAGCCCGATACTAGGACGAAACGGCAGTCTAGTGCTCTCAGATTTCCAAATTTTCCACAACTGATCTCAGTCCATGATGAATACCAACTTGAAATACATGTTATTGTTATATAATTACCATGACGATGTAAAGTTGACAATTGTATTTCTTTGTGAAGGCATCAATTTGGTTAAAGTCTCTTGATTGCTATTGCCCTGGCAAAACGTAGTAGTTCTTTTAACTGTTGACTGACACTGTGTTTAGTATGGGTCAGGTGTTGTGCTACTACTCTGTTCAGTACACAGGGACCCCTTAATTTGGGATTCTTGAGGCTGTGTTCACAAAATGCCAACAAAAGCCTTCCTGTCTGTTCTTCCAATTTATGCTGTTTGGTGCAGACATGCGGTAAATTGTCATATGTAATTGAAAGTAAAATGACGTGGGAATTTATTCACTTCAGAGTGCTGCAACAAGCAATCTGTTTGGCATAAACAGTTCAGCCTAATGGTGTTAAACGTTCAGTTCAGTGTAGCATTCAATCGACAGATGATTAAAACAGCAATTTCGTCACCCTTTTATCATCCAAACACTTCTCACCAATGGATAACTTCCCCTCAAGTTTTTCTTTCAAGCACAGTTTTTCTCATAAAACTGATCAGAGTCCTAACTGATCATGTTTTGTAGGTCGTCAAGTAGAAGCTCTTGAAGTTTAAATAAAATTCATTCCAGGTCAATTCTCTATGTATAAAACTTTAATTTTCTTGTATGTGTCATGTTCAATACCAAGATCTAGGAAATAAAACTTAATTTTATGCTCATACTCCATTGTTAATGGTATGAACATTTTTGATAGGATTTAGATGATAAGACGTACGATTATGGTCATTGCAAAGGACAATGTATTATGAATATAACCGGCATAAAATGCTGTTTAACTGACTTGTCTGCTCTAGGCTACACATAAACATGTCACCTAGGATTGAACTCAACAGGTCTACATCAATTCTGAAGACATGATAATATAAGACATTGCTAGACTGGAATTGGACGTCTTCCATTCACATCACTAATAGCCGCTTGAAATCAGTTTTCTCTAAAAGTAGGTCTGAATGTCGACATCCAATCTTTATGGTTTCTTTCAGTGAGATTTTTGTAAATAAAGATGACACCTCATAGAACAAGACGAATTTATTTGGAAAACTCATACTTCATAGCATTTGATCAAAGTGGAAGCTGCCTTTCAAACTGTCTTCAGCTAAATCAGTAAGGATTCGTTTGCAATTGTTTCGCTAACCAACAGGCCAGGTTGTGAAACAGTAAACTGATCAAAGACAGTATTAATCTCCCAGGTTTGTACACATTTGCCAAATCAATATAAACAGAGCAGTCTTAATCCTTCAGGTCTCATTTCATTACAGGTGCTGCTGTCATGTAATTCCTTCGTTATTTACTTTTCCATCAATCATTCCAATGATCATTTAGGAATGTTGAAGATTTGATTTTGCGTACATAGTTGTATTTTCCCAATATAAGCAAACCAGAACCTTTGATTAATGAAGGATAGCAATGTTTTCGTCATTTATTAAATTTACAATGCTTCTTGATGAAATTTAAACAAAACTGTTGACTGTGGATTTTTGAATGCTGTGTTGATTTGACTAAACTTCAGGAGCCACATCTATTATGACACCAGTCTCAAAAAAATAAAATGAAAGTTAGGTATCCACAGGATTTCATACTGAGTGAAAAAACTTCTGGATCATTCTGTACAGTCTCTAACTACTCACATCATTTATTAATACGTCATATGAATACATGAGATTCTTTGGTCAGAAATCATAAAATCGTTTCTTGGCTCGATAGCTTATAACAGAAACTCAATTGGAGCTGCATTTAACGGTCTAAACTGTAATCGAACTCCAGTGATATTGCCATAAACTGTGCAGATTGTAAATAATTTGTGTGGTTGATAGTTTAATTTGCATGAGTGTTTATTTTGACTGATGTTAAGTGATGGTTGGGTGTCTATTTTGCAGTGATAACAAATCCTAACAGGTTAAAGAGACAGAATGAATAGAAAGCGTCCTTCTAAAAAAGCCTATAAAACCTAGGCTATTGTTAATATACATAAACTGTTGTATCTTGCACATATTTTGGCGTTTCAGTACACCTGTTACCTTATTACTTTTTCCATTTTTCGAGTAATCGAAAAAACCATCAAGGGTGGAACCTGAAATGGCATCTACTCAAAAGCTTTACTGCTAATAAAGTTCTCGAAATTTACGAAAAAACGTACACATCATTAAAACTAGCAGTTAAAGGAGAACGGGGCAACAATATCATGCTGTAATACCAACTGCCAATACGTTTACCGAATCGCTTCAGTTTGCATTCATTAGCGACATAGTAATCAGCTTTTGGAGCTTCCAAGAAAACAACCCAGCCTTCTTCAATACGCTTTAAAGCTTCTTCATGGTTATTAGGGAAACCCCATTGACTCATTCTAGTATAAATCATTCCATATTTCTCGGTAACTGGATATTGCCAGACTGTATAATTTGAGGTGAATTCATCTGAAAAAACATTTATACAAGCTGAGCCAGGTTACTGCGATTACTAAATCAGGTATATATATATATATATATATATATATATATATATATATATATATATATATATATATATATATATATATATATCATTCGACTGGTGGTTGAAATTATTCTCATCTGCACCTGCGTTGCAATGAGCCTGAAAATAGATATGACAAGGACACTTACTCCCTACTCTAACTGAGCATCCTAATGTATCAGCATATAATTGAGGATTCAGTCGACTAGTACAGCTTCGATTCTGACAGTTAGTGTAACATGGATGCCAGCAAGACCGGACTCTAATTGTAGACGATCCTGAAATAAACTCACTAGAAACTTCATTTTCGAACTGATGGATGGAAAACGTGTTCGAAGTACTTTGTTGGAATCTTGTCTGCTGGTGTCTGAGATAAACTTTTTATCCATAACAATGGTTTTCGTTGTTCTAGCCTAACCTTTCTGTTGTACGATCTCGGCCAGTGTTTGAATGTTGAAGACCGTAGGCCTAAATGGTATTCGTAGTTTCAGGACGTTTGCGTCAAACATTATGGTGGAGGAAAGCTCTATGAAGTTGACCGGAGTGGCAGAGTAGCATCAAAGTCTTAAATAGTAACGTGAAAGTCAGAAGTAAAAATAATTTGAATCAGACGGAGTTTATATATAGATATTATAATGATAAAACGAAAGCCTAAGTGCAGGAGAGTGCTGTTTAATGTTTTCATTGCACCGTATAAGTGAGGGTTAAAGCACCTCCTGTTGGTCCAAACCGAAGTAAGGAGCTAGTGTGTGTTATAAAGTAAAAGGGTTCATCGTATTCCATGTTATATAGTCTCAATGTGTTAGCATTAATAAAGAGGTGATGGAATTCCCTTTAACACTGACCTTCAGCAAACACCTTTTATATGTTGATTACAGGATATATTATGCTTATTGACAATGTATTTAAAAAACTGGATGGGAGTTCATTTAGGGTAAGATCAATTCCAAGAAAACTCAAGGTTCGTCGAGAGAAAACCAAAAGTTTTGATATTTGTGTTAGCTATTAGTTGACACAACTGTGATAACATGCTCAATATGGCGATGGATTACAGATGGGATGCAAATTTAGGTCTGAGTTAAGGCAAACGTTCTGATACATAAGAATAAATATTTTAAGCCAAGCCAATTGCAATGCAGCTGACAAAACAACACATTTCTTCAAGTTCATTTGAACATGTACCGAAACCATCATTAAACTTAGTACAGTTTCCTGAAAATAGGTCTGATTTACAACGATCAAGAATTTTAGTTAGAGTGATAAAACAAACAACATCTGTTTACAAGTTAGTTAAAAAAAATGACACTAAGTCTTCCATTGCCCTCCCTCCGTTAGGTAAGCTGGAGAACAACAAAGTCAATAAATCCAATCTAGAGGTTTGTGGGGATTCATTTATTAGTTTCAGGTTGATATTCACCATGGACTATCATGAGCTGGAGAAACATTGGAAACATAGAAGAAATGGATAGCTGTTTTGTCCTAGTATACGTCTCCTCAGCAGTGCGCATCCATTACCCCATTGGGCTTCAGGATTGAAGTTCCTAAGTTCAATCCCTGGTGCACGGGGCCATGGATCAGCACTGCTGAAGAATCCCATTTTGGAACGAAACAGCTATCCAGTCTTGCTAAATTTCCAGCGTTTCTCCGACCGATGTCAGTCCATGATGATTAGTAACCTGAAAGTCAATAAATGTTTTGCTAGTTCCTCCTTCTCATTGAGACTTCTCACAGATTTTATTGTTTATATATTACTTCCCCACTACTGAGTTACAAAAACAGAGAAGAGCAACTACTTACTGTTATATACAACTTGTTGCTTCCATATCTCAAATATAGCTTCTTCGGCACTTTTCAACCTTTCGAAAAATCGCATTTCCGAAGAATTCTTTATAGTTGTATACTGGAAAATGCACAAATTGTATTTAGATTAATAGTCTATGAATTGTGACACGTTAGTAGACGTCATGTTAACAATGTTTTATAATCTGTGTTTATATGTCTGTTTATTGATTATCTTCAAGACATGTTTAGGAGGAAATGAAGTAGAGGTTTTTTTCCTCACCAGTCATAGCCACGAAATCTATAGGAACAGTGTAAGTTTTATTCCACCAGAAACTGTAGATAGTTTGTCTGACTTCAATTTTTCTTCTAGCAACTTGGCAAAATTTCATTTCGAAGGAACTAGTTAGTCTGATTTCACGTACATTTCGCACTATCATATAGACCACTTTCTAAAAGTTTGGCTATGGAGGAGATACGTAAAACTAATACTAACCACATGAAAATATTCAGTACTGTTTTTCCATATAGGTATCTGTCTTGTTTATGAGTGATAACTATGGTATCATCTTATGCAGTTGGCCTAACCGTGATGAAACATATGGGACTAACTAATCTCCACACAAATTGTCATTACATATAAGTTGTACTTGTAGTCTGTTCTGTAAGTATACAGAGAATAAGTTAAATTATGGTAGGTAATGCCTTTATGTCAGCCAGAATGAAGTTCATGTTATCAGCACTAATCGAAAAAGATGAGTAAATGCTGGTGAATATAATCTAAATTCAACTGCTGTTTAGTTCGACAAAATAGAGAGCAGGCATTGCTTTCTAGAAGTACGTTTCGACGATAAACGTACTTAATTTTAGGTTGGAATTCATAATGGGCTGACATCAGCTGGAGAAATATTAGAAACCTGGGAACACTAGACTGCTGTTTCGTACCCGTATGGGACTCCTCAGCAGAGCGTACCCATGACACCATCCCACCAGGGACCGAGCCGAGGACCTTAAGTTTCTGTGGCTAGTGTGTTACCATTGAGACACTGAGTTGGAACTCAGTAGTCCATATTTTTCTCCAGTACAATGTTTCATGTTCCATGTTGTTGACAGTCGTGACCAGTCACCTTTTTTGCTTGCATTAAGTGTGACTTTTATGAACATGGATTCAGTCAACAATCTTTCTTTTCATTTGTTCATGTTGGAAATTATATATATATATATATATATATATATATATATATGTATATATATACCATACTATGCTACACTATATATACCATACACTATACACTGTACAATATGTAATGTAGTGTCTTAATGCTACCTAAGTTCTACCATTCTGCTGAATGAATCAGCTTTGAGGTATATTGTATTTAATATTCCGTATTTAAAGGAATTTGGCAGAAAACCCTGTTGATCAACCACTCAGTGTCAAAACATATCGTTGCAAGTAATTCAGGAATATATTATGTTTAGTTTTGAGTAAGACTGCCAGATCTATTATCCAACTTGTCACCTTAACTATCTCCAGTACCGAAACACAAATTTCTGCATTTTCCTTTATCTCACCTTACTCTGGGTGGTGCAGGGTTGATACAGCTTCTCCAAGGGAAGTAACGAGTACCGATCACTGACCCATAAGGTTTACTGGTTTAGAAAGTGGAACTTCAACCATTGAGTGGTGGACTAAAACCCTACTTCATCCACTTAAGTCTATGAGATCATTTTCTATAACTAGTTATCGCGAAATAGGCATGGACACAAAAATGCAAATTTTCTGCTGAGATGCACAAGCCATAGCGTTAACTTTTATCAGCCACATCTAAGTTAACTGAAGTTAACCGTAATAATACAGTTACTGTATCTGTACAACCCTGATATCCAGGAGAAACCGCAGTGAAAGTAAAATGGAAAGTTTAAATTTCACCAGCAGTTGCAAAACAAATATCGTCACTATATTGACAATCTCTCTTCAGACACTAGAAAGTCAACAGTACATCGATTATCCGAAGAAATGTCTCCGTGTGTCTTCTGGTTTGTGTGTGTGTGTCTATGTGCGTGAAGAGTAAAGGTATATCAACTATTCTCTTCTTTTGAATGAATGTGAAAACTGATGATCTGGAACGTAGTTAGAGGAAATATACGAAATCAGTAAGTACATGTAACCTTGTCCTTCGAAGAGAGCAATCAAATAGCAGGTTCTTAGGGTGGAGTCAATCCTACTTAGTGTAAAGAAATATTTTGATATCGATGACAATATTTGTTGAAGAACTAGGAAATACAACAGTGTATGTAAAATAAGTAGCCCGTGTAAATCTTTTTACTGTTATCCTAGGAATGTTATCTGAATGAATGATTCTCAGAAGCGATTATCTAACAATTTAATTTATAACAGCGTATAATATTTTATTAGACTTGCTTTCACTGTATCTTGTTCAATTAATTGCTTAAATGTTGAAATTTCACCTTGTAACCCACTAACTGTCAACTTTGCAGCCATATTAGCTGAAAACATTGCAATAATGATAAGAACCAACAACCATAGACCAGCGACTAGGATACGCGTTGAAGCTGCACGAGGATCCATGTATTCACCTACAGAAAGAAAAAGAAATCAAATATTTATCAAGAATTCTATTGCCTACTAATGCTTATTACATAAACCAACGTTAATTAGGTAATGATTTAGAATATATGCACAGGTTGTTTTCTGAAGTTTGATTTGGTTTAATACAATGCGTACTAAAAATGACGGATGAGAAAAAATCGATCACTAGAAACTCTTCACAATTTTTAGTTGAGAGGAATATTTAACTTAGAAGTTAGTATTAAAAGAAGCAGACAGTTGCATACCTTTCATTTAGACGGTGGAAATAAAGTTTTGATATAGTAAATACTTTTATTTCTTAAGCTATCATGTTAACAACCAGCAGTCCTCTTTTGTAAAGTCTACTGTAATTCAGGTATCGTGGTAGGGTTTACTACGATTTCTACTTTGAGCACCTATTTCATTCGTTTTTTAGGCTGTCGATAGCTTAAAACGACTTAAGACTGCGATGAATACTGTTTTTATGATGGAAAAGAATGCAGGAAGAACATGTTACAATAATGATGGGTAATGGCTAGCAGTAGAATCCAGGATGCACATTTCGTCCTATTTAAGACTCATCAGTTGGATGTACCTGCCTCACAGTAAGTGACTTTGTTCCCACCGGGACTCAGAGACGACCGCTTCAAACGCGATAGCATTATCCCCAACACCACCGAGCCACGATAGTAGCTTTTTGTGCGACGGGTATAGTTTTAATGTTATTGCTTGTATTACACTATCGTTGATGGGACTAAATTGATCAGTCTAGCTGACGAGTCCCATCATTACTACACATAATTAAAGCACAGGCAATATCGAGGCATCCGTACAGGAGCCCATATGCCACTAGAGACTGATCAATTCGGTCGAATCAACGACGGTGTAATACAAACAATAACACTAGAAAATGTTGCAATGTTTGAAGGTGAAATTGTAGTAAATTATGAGAAACTTGAAACAGGTGTGCAATGGTGCATAAATGCTTGATATTATGAAAAGTTTTGCAAAGATCAAGACCATGAAAGCTTAAAGTTGTTAATTCGTATGATGAACACATTTTTTTCTTGTACATTTTGAGTAGGAAGTTTTCAGTTTAGCTATTATTAAAAAATCATATGAAGACAGCATTTTCTGAAGTCAAGTGAGAAATATATGGTTTTTTTTACAGGAAATTATATTATTAAATGGGATGATACAAGTTATACAAGTTTACTGTAGATGTCTTCGGTTTTAAGTGAATACCAAAAACATACTAGTCTGATAGTTTCAGATAAGAGGAAGCATATTTTAATTCATATTCAAGGTATTTAGAGTGTATTCAAAATATATAGACTAACATATTCATTTTCATGCTTTATAGAACAAACTTTGTCTAAACATAGCATCTTCTAATCAGTTAATTAACATAACTTACTTTCTCAGAGAAGTTTCCGGTGTATGAATAGCTTAACAGTGGTACCCTAACTTAAGGCTGGAGTTTCAGTTAATGAATGTGTTTCTATCTGATAACAGATAAGTGATGAAAAAAGGAACCTAAGTTGCATTTTCCTGAGAAGCTAGTTTTCCCTTCAGTATACGTAACTGGTAAAAGAAATTAAAAGGAGATCTGAGATACCAGCCAGTTGCTGTATGTATATTCATAGACTAAACAGAGAGTTACGCTTGTTTTTTATGCGCTGGAACTTGCATATGTTCAGACACACAAGTGATAGTCTTCAAGATACTTATCAGTTTTTCGCAATTCAATAATTGTATTCATATTTCCATGTATTTTAAAAATAAATGGATGACTTCTATGAGGGAATACAACTTCAATTCACTTACCTTGTTGAGTACATGAGCCCAATACATACCACAAGGCTTCTTTCACGGTGAACACTGTACCCATAGACTCACCGTCACCTTTTTTCATTTGATTTTGATAACTGTACGGTGAATATTTATCAATAAAGGCCAGTAGAAAACCGATTAAAAACACGACAACTACAGACGTTACCCATACATCCCTGTTGTCAGTAAATTAAGAAGAGGATTTCAGGAAAAGAAATTTAGGAAAATTGGTGGAAAGTTAATAAACTTGAAAGAAACAGTTTAGGTCAGTGATCTCCGAGGTTTGATCAAGGTATTATTACAGTATGGAGATTTCTTGGTGGTCTATCTATATATGCATTCGAATTACATTCCTTATTCTCGACCAGTCAAAGTTGAACAGTGACTTGTGAACAAAGTTGAGCCAACTTCTTCGAGATACAGTTTTTTCGTCTCATTGTGAAATCGTCAGACTTACACTTCGTTTCTAGTCACCGGTGAAATCTTTTGGGCGAAAAGTTGTATTTACGTAACCTACACCGTAACCAAGACCACTAAGTAATAAACAGAGTGAAAAACCTCGGTTTATTGAGTCGTTTTCTGTTTTTTGGCCCCTTCTTAGTTATATCCTACAAAGTTAGTGGCCACATAGTGTGACTTCACTTGAAACATTGATCAGACCGATGAGAATTACCTGTCATCATTGGAGATGAATGCATAACTCTGGTTATCAGTTGACTATTGATTAGAAAAACACCATCACGTCAGCTTACGAATTCTGACCAGTCCTTGAATACTGCACTTATTTATGGACATAATAATACTTCTTCAGTACTCTACATCAGCCGGAAACTGAAAATAAATATAGTAACTTATCTCAGGCAGCTGTAGTATAGTGGTGGAGGTACTCTTCACCACACTCATACAACACAGTCACGTAACAGTAATAATTATACAATCAGGTTTTTCAGAAAAAGAATAATTTAAGGGAACCATTGTTTTCAGTAACTTCTGCTTCAGGTTCTACAGTTATAAATCCATGAGAATAAATGAAATACAACAGCCAAAATAAGGCATGATGTACAATTATTACTATATTGAAACAGTTAATATTATGAGTGAATGGAAATCAAATCGAATGGAATGATGGAATGGTAATCAGTCTAGTGTGTTAGTTGTGCAATAAAATCAATATTGTCGGAGCAATTATGAAATGAGGAGAAAGAATCTACAGATTATGATTTATTTATATACATTTATCATTTTGACTATCCGAGATAGGTGTGATTTGTCAGACTAGTATTGTTACTGGGTGTTGATTTAAGGTGAAATGAAAACTTGGAACGCGGCCGAATTCGAACCAGCGATCGTCATATGTACATTTATTTGGACATGTGTATGTCTCTTTACCAAGGGTTGACCAGAGTAGACAAAGTGGACGTACATATTTCTTTGGAACACATAGGTTTGGTTTTCTTGCGTTGATAGCTTCGGCTATGGATAAGATGCGTAGTCGTGCATCATTAGGGAGATTTCAAAGGATACGATATATTACAGAAAAGGCGTGATCTATCTTAATCAAATGTCCAGTTCCTACTAGATGTGAGAGGACTGCACTGTTGATGCTATTTGTCATTTCCAAGATGGTAGAAGTTCAATAGCGCTCATGGATAGAGCCCTTTGAGTATGGCCTATGTAGTTAGCTCCACAGGAGTAGCTGAACTCATAAATGCACATTGAAGGGGCCATCATTAATGACCTATCCTTGGCTGTCTGTGTCAGTAACAGTTTGGTTGAGAAGCTGACGAAAAATTCCGCTGCACTGAATGTACTTTTGACTGATCTACTTAACCGATGTGTTAAGATTTCAGAGGCAATATCACCATGGAAACTTATTCTTAGATATAAAGACTTCTGAGCAATATTATCCTTTTTTATCTCCTCTCTAGTTTTAGACATGTGTTTGTTTATGAAATTTAGCGGGTAACCATTTTGCTGAAATGTTATCTTCAGCTTATTCATTTCTCCTTCAATACAGTCATCAGAACATATGTTTCTCATTCCGTAACTTACGCATTTGATCGGGTTTCTTTTATACTGAATTGATGTGAGGCTATGAAACTGAATGTATCGACCAGTTCACGTGTTCTTCCGAAGAATATTCCTTTTGATATATCCATCCGTTTTACTGGTGAGTAGGACACCTAGGAAAGGAATACTATTACATTGTTCTTCATCGCATGTGAACTTCATGGAGCTCATTTCGTAATTGCTCCGACAATATTGATTTTATTGCACAACTAACACACTAGACTGATTACCATTCCATCATTCCATTCGATTTGATTTCCATTCACTCATAATATTAACTGTTTCAATATAGTAATAATTGTACATCATGCCTTATTTTGGCTGTTGTATTTCATTTATTCTCATGGATTTATAACTGTAGAACCTGAAGCAGAAGTTACTGAAAACACTGGTTCCCTCAAATTATTCTTCTTCTGAATAACCAATGAGGATCTTTAGATTATTAAAATAGGTTTTTATTAAATTTACCTACCAGAAAAGAGGTGTAGTTACACTTTAGGCGATTCTCTTTAAGAACCATCAAAAGTATGGTACATAGACTATTATGCGCAAAGCCAGAAGACGTTATCTTCATTTGAAGTTGATGTCCTATATTTGGCTAACAATTTGAAATTCCTGTTAAATATGGACCTCAACAAGCCTACCTTTCTTGGTTGTGGGCAAATATTTTGATTATCTAATTTACTTACTTATTAGTAGCCTCTATTTAGATCTTAAATTTTAACCGGTCTCATAGTTTTAGTGTAGCTATAATGGATATGTGTGCACATGAAACAACATTTCCTATCACTTACCATGTGAATACGTCAAGGAAGAATAATGCACCAAGTTTAAGATCTTCATTCACTTTATTTACCATTGTGATTCCAACTGATTCATAATAAGGTACTGTGAAGTCAGCTACCAATGATCTTTCTGCATCTTGTACCAACGGTCCTAAGCCGACATCAGCATTCTGGTTTATTAAAATGAATGAAAAAAAGCCAATGTATGTTCTTATAATACCACCATAACCGGCATGATTAACAGTAGTAAGTTATTTTTCAATATTCTATGCGTAGAAATAAAGGAATAATCCACTATTGATGGAAAGGCTATACTCCCCGGTGGTTAATAAATTATACGATTAAGCCACATGTACTTGACGTTAACAGGAATTTAGCATCATCTTTTGTAGAACATTTACTTATGACTGGTCAAGAAATCGGTGCTGATCACTGTTTTTTAATTATTTGGTCATATAACTTAAATCCAAGGTTATTTAAGTTGAAAGAAACACTTTGAATTATTCACGTACACCTAGAATTATGCGCCTGAAAAAACGATGGATGTAACTTTCGTCTACTTTAACCTAGGTAATGTAGTTTGACAACTGCTTATCAGTATGCTGTTTCAGTTGGTATAAAATGTTGACAAATATTTTATTTCAAGAGTTTTTATCGTCAATTGAAACCAACCAGAGAACCAGATGAAAATTCGTTCTAAACTACTTGGTTGTGTAGACGTCGACCATATCGGATGTGTGACAAATACTAACTGATATAAATGTTTGATAACCATGTTATATAAGGAAACAAGAGATACTGGGAAGAGTAAGTCATCGCATTTCAGTCCCGTTAGTGACTGGTAACTTCTCCACGAAAACCGACAGTGTTAGATTCCGTCGCACGTGCAGTCGTGACTATGCCCATTGAAGAATCCCGAACAAGGGCGAAATGGCTGTTCAGTGCTTTAGGGTTATCGATGGTTTTCTGATTGGTGTCGATTAGGGATGAAAACTCCACGTGAATCTACCAATTCCTCAAGAACCTCCGAAATGAAGTATAATTGATTATTGTAAACCATGTAAGTTGTTTCCTTAACTACTTTAAATGAAATAGAGAGAAATTTTGCAGAATACTATGGATATAATGTATTTCTGTACACCCTTTCATCCTTTTATCAGTCAAAGTTAAAATAAAAAAAGTAGTGTCGATACTATTGAAGATTGGGTTATAAGCTGATTATAAAGGAATGGAGAAAATGCTCGGAAAGTTACCGTATCAATATTTCAGCAACATGTCATTTACTGGTTACGGGGAATGTTATGGACTTTGAGAATCCATTCAATATAACTCATAAACTATGCAGCTTCATCGTGCTTTGTCCCACAGAAGCCACTGTAATCAGATTAAAACCTGGTCTTTGTATTCAGAGAGAATCATTGATTCACCTTTAACTACCTTGTTAAAAATGTTTTGTTTTTCTATTAACTGCAATAAAGCTCAATGAGCTGAAGTCAGTTATCATCTTCTTTCCATACCATTATCATATTATACTTCATTATTTTGTTATTTCACATTGTCTAGTACCAACATTATTCTAGATCTGTCATTTCAATCAAAACTCTGCATAATAATCTACTCAAATATTCGAATAATTCTACAAGCTTTTCATGACCATGTTACACCCCAATTTTCACGTTTTAATCAGTATTTTATTTTAAAACATTTTCATTTCTATAGCTTGTAAGCAGCTGAAGAGGATGCAACGAAATCCATCGAACCTATAGTCTCCTGCTTTAATTAAACCCACCTCAATTGTGCAGGAACCACATATGAATGTCTCTATGCAGACATTAGGGTTACATTACCATGGATGATGTTTCGAGGTATAATTAAAATGGTAGAGGTATGTGATGGGACTTCCAAATACATAGCTGCCCGAAAGTAATTTGAAAATGTCAAGTATGAACAGACCTCAGTCATAGGACTTTTAGGTTGGCTTTGTGGTGAAATAAAAATCGAAAACGAATCAGATAGCACCTGATGATGCACAATTTAAGTTTGTAGAATACTGAGTTTCTTCTCTTCCTTGGGCAATATGAGAGTCATAAACATCGGAGACTTTCCAAACCAAAATTCTGACGAGTTTATCAACACACCTTTCAGGAAAGTAAATATGTTGATTTTTAAACCTTTTGGGTTATCTGTGTAAGTTGAGTAGGTAAATATCTGACCTTTAGACGCAGCGTCAACAAATCCCCAAATCACGATTTCTGTAGATTCCGGTGATCATGAAGAGAAGTTTTTAAATGTCGATTATGACATTTTACAGTATTCAGCAACCTTTTTTAGACTTTTCACTCCTGTAGATATTTAGGAGCTACACAAACTTACTCTTTAAGTCTCAATGCAATGTAAACATAAAATGCTTTTTGTTTCAAGGTTAGAAATTTTCACAGTGACTTGGACTTTATCGGTGATAAGATGACCTTTAATCACATTCTTCTTGGACGAGTTTACAGCCTCACTTTCGGTTTCCCTTGACAACAAACTAAAAGCAACAGAAAAGTTGTTTCAATACAGGTGACAATTTGTTGAGAATTCGAAATTAATTTTAGTCTTAAGTTGGTATAACCTGTACAACGTTTCTCCAACATTATCTGTAACACGTATTTGTGAGTGGTCTCAGAAAAGTAATTTTAAGTTTCACTAGGGCCTTAAAGCTTCTCAGACAAAGCAATTTCTCTGAGTACCCAACAACAAAAATCCCATTGGATTATAGTTCATAGTCTAACAAAAGTTGTTTTAAATTCATGCTAAACTAGTCATTGTGTTGAATTCATTTCCTAATGAATTGCTTAAGTGTAGCACTGATCATTGGCAAAACAAACGCTTAGTGATTCCCGACTTCCAGTGATTTTTGACGGCCAATAGAATGTAGTACAGCTCATATTTGAAGTAAATTTACTTCACATAGAAAGAGGTGTACTTTAGCTGGAACAATGTGTACCATACGTAGTTAGTGACATACACTTAGGAAATCAAAAAATACTAAGTGTTTCAGGAAATTGGTAGTTCTATCCATGGCTTACGAATGGAAACCAAACCATTGCAAGTAAAGTACTCTGACTTCCAAAAGTGGAATTAAATATATTATGAAAATTTGACACAGATAAGTCATCATGAAACTTAAGAGCTTTTTCATTGGTAAATAAGTTACCCACGATATTACATCAATCAAATGTTAACTTTGGTGGTATTATATGGAGATGGAATTCAGAACTATAATTACATAACTTTTAAGCATTCAGTAACTAATCAACAAGTTTGAATGAATAAATGATTTTATGGAAATCAAATGCTGATTAATGATATAGTTACACTTAACAAATGACTGATTACCTTTCTAGAAATTTGACCGATTATTCCTGACCACTGACCATTTTCAAGTTTAACACCATAATCGCCGTCAGCTTGCTCAACAAATTTATAATCGAAATCTAAGCGTTTCGCTATTTCTTTAAAGACATCTACACAATATCCTGTCCATTGATTTCCTTCTAAACGTATTGCATATGGTGGATCCTATAGACAAAAGTTGATAATTAGTTATCGTCACCCTCAGAGTAAATGACGGAATATTTTTTTATAACAGCCAAATTATAAGACTCATTAAGCAGAAGTAAGTGACCCATGTTCGAGGTTAAAAGCACCAAACATGAGAAAAATCAAAAATTGTAGACTTTAAAATCCATGTCAAACTTTCTGCCGCGTGTGTACAGTTTCGATCATCTGACTACAGTTTCAGTATGGTTTTCAATAGGAAACAGTTTGACCTCTGATCGTATACATAGTGAACTAAATAAATACACCAGTTAAAGATATGAGTAATTCAAAACCAGATAATCTGACTTGTAGACTTGGAAAACCAAGTCAAAGGGAAATGGATACTTAATAAACATTAATCTCGCTTACGAGTACGTCGAGCAACCACATAAATGTAGCCTTAATAGACGACATAATCAAATCATTGGAAATTCACCAACTGACTCGAATGCATCATGACACCGCAAAATTAATGACCAGTTTATAAGCTTTAAACACAATGAAGAATCTTTTTCAGCATTTATCACACGTGATTAGCTTTCTCCTTGGTGAACTTCCAAGGTACTTAACCTTAATTTTACAGTGACCTGATGAGTTGCCCTAGAATATTGCAGGTAAGATGATAAATATTATCTGGTGTTTACCAGTCGTCTAACTGACAAGGAATACGGTGCAAAGTCCCTTTCAAGTGACCTTTTTTAAACACACTCTAAAGCCAATCTGATTCAGAAATCAAAACAGTTATCTGTTGTATTTCATCTCATACAAATATACCGACAAAAATGCAGCAGAAATCCCCCAATCTGAAACTAGATTTATCCCATTTATTTTCATATAAACAAGCATATTATATGCTGTTTTAGTCAGCAATATGCTTAGTCTCATCAGAAAGGTACCACTGAATCACAATCCTTGAGTGATATTAGGTAGGAAATAACAGTGTAGTAAAAGATGTGAATGTAATCGTGTACATTATTTGTTATCTCGAGTTTTTGTACTCCTCAAGATTCATATCCAGTATCTACGCCATTGTACACCAGACTATGACTTAATAGGCTATTAAGTTAAAACCATAGCTTACTGTTAAACGACTATCATTTGTCATTATTTATTTAATTTTATTGTTTTACTTATAACTCTTTGTTGAGACACTTGTAATTCTCGGTTGTACTAGATCAAACTGTTGGCATATGGGCTCCTATGCGGATGTCTCGATATTGCCTGGATATATATTTTGGTAAATTCCTTAGCTGTGGCTAGCACAGGATTCCAGGACGCGCGTTTCCCCTATTTGCGACTCATCTTTTGGATGTACCAGTACCCCAACGAGTGATGTTGTTCCCACGGAGACTCGAACCTCGTGCCCATCGCTTTAGACGCTGAAACCTCATCCACTAGGTCACTGATGAGTCCCAGAGAGTACGAAACGTGAGTCTTGGATTTCCGTGCTGGCCACAACCAAGTAAATTATCATAATAAATATTCGGGAAACATTGAGGCATTCGAATAGGAGCCCATGTGTCGTCACAGGTCGAACAATTCGAGCCAGTCTAACAACGGAGAATTACAAGTATATCAGTAAATAGTTATAACTAATACTCGTTGTACAAGAGGTGGCAATCGTGCCTCAGTGGCCTATTAGATAACGCACTGGTGTTTGAAGTGATGAGTACGGGGTTCGACTCTCAGTGGGAACAACATCACTCCCTGAGGTTCAGGTTTACTTATGATTCATTATTATTTAGTTATTACTACCACTTGAAATTTCCAGCTAGTAATTTACGGCACCAAAGTGATGCGCCACCATAATCATATAGGCTTCTTGCGCTTATTATCAAGCGGGATGAGATGGGGTTCCATGTATATCGAGGACTGGACTCCTTGAGGAACTTCGGTTAACTCTAAAGACGTGGAATTATTGAATCGAAGGCTGAACTCTTTCGGAAGTTTCAGCAGTGATTACTAGATCTTGCATCATTCTGGATAAAATCTTTTCAGTTGTTTTCCTATTTGCCCACTATCATCTTCCTCTGCGGCTATCTGTATTAACTTATTGTTCTCATTAGAAATTCGCAACAATCTTTTTACATAACCTGACCTATGTGATTAGAAAATTCTGCAAATCATCTTGTGACATGAGGAGTGACAGAGATTCGGAAACCAAATAAAAGAATGACAGAAAGGATACTACTGAACTTGTCGACACAGTGAGTGAGACAAAAGTATCTGGCGAGGTAATATCTTACAAGATGTTGGCTATTTTCTTATCAATGTACTTTGACGAAAATAGTATATTTCATGTACTAGTCTTTCGACTCCAACAATTTGAATGCCGAAGCTACCAATAAGTATATTCAAAGCTAATCCTAAAATGTACATTAAGTTTCCAGTTTTAATTCAACACAGAATTACATTCACAGGAAAATACAGCAGAGATAAGAACTCCACGTGGTCTCCTACTGACCAAATATTTCATGGCTTATTTGGAAAAGAATAGCTAGAGATCAACTATCCACTAGGGCAAAGGGTAAAAGCGATACATGGATGATATTTTCATTGTTGGTGATCAAATAACTTACTATTTATTTAATTTTCCCTTGGGTTCCTAGTGGAACATAAAGCTACAGTTACACGTAGCCATTACACTCCCTTCTCTCCAGTCTTTTCAACATGGCTTCATCACTGCACACAAACTTTCATTTCTTACTCACATCATCTCCTCCATATCGCCCTCACCTCAAATGCCCAACTCATCGTTCATCATTTGGATTCCAATCGACCGCCTGGTCTGGCACGTGGTGTCCCCAGTCGGCCTTCTCAGTCTATGCACAATCAAATCAAATCAAATCCATCTCCACTTTCTTCTACATATTTGTTGGGCGATGGGTTCTTGCTTCGTTGGTTCGTTGCCAGACAGCCAGACAGAGTTCCTTCTTACTTATTCTGTTTATTCTGCTCATCTCATCTTCAGTATCCAGTGAGCCAGTGAGCAGCAGCTGTTCATGTATGTCTGCAGTTTGTTGGAAATGCTTTCCGTCACGCGCCAAGTCTCTCAACCATCACATACAAGTATTGATTTACTTGACTGGCACTAGTGTTCAAATCCGGATATTGTTCACACTTTATGCTGAGTGCAGTGCAGTAGATCTCCACTCTGGTTTCAGATTATTGAAAGCCTGTCTTGCTGCCTTTTCCAACCCGGCTTTGACATCCTCATCTGTGCCACCGCCACCGCCACCACCACCACCATCTGCAGTTGAAACGATGCTGCCTCCCGAGGTAGGTGAAACAGACTACCTCCGATAGATTTCTCTCGTTGATGGTGATTGGTGATTGTTGTTCCCAGTTGGGTATCTTCATCACCTGGATCTTCTCTACACTCACTTGAACGATGTCCCGTCTTCACTGACTCGCCTCTTCTGTCAACTTGTTGGTCGTTGTCTGTGCATCTTCGAGTTTGTGCGACAAGACAACAGTCATATATCATCATTGGTGGCGGCGAAATCAAAATCTTCTTCTCTTGTTTTCTTCATCGCTCCAGCCACCATATGCCCATCTTCTCACAACTCCTCATAGTTTCTCGCAACATCCAGTTCAGTCCAGTCGACCACAATCAGGAAAATGATCGGTGACGACAGTAGGCAGCAGCCTTGTCTTACTCCTTCCTTCCTGTCTTCACTTCAAAGGCGTCAATGAGCTTTCCATTGTGAATCACTTCGCATGTAAACCTCATCATATGGCATACAGATGTTGAATGAGGTTGATAAATGTTCGTGGCACTGAAACCGTAGTGTTGAAGCAGCTGCCTGCCAAATTACTTCTCGGTCGACGCTATCGAGGCAAAGCCTTTTCAAAATTAATGAACTTGAGGTAAAGATCCAGTTGAGTGTCATTCTATACTCTGTTCTATGACGATGCGTAGTGTAGCCTTACAATTTGATCCACACATGATTTGTACTTCCTGAAGATAGCCAGCCATCCAGCCAACAACACTATTCCGGTCACAGTTTTGAATCCAGCGCATTTGTTAGCCTCTCCAGGATGATGCGGATCAATATTTTGCTTGTTTTCGGTGGACGGCAGCATGATTTCGCGCCAGTTCTCGTTCTCGCAAAGACTTACGTCTCCCTTGTTTGCGGGTTTGACAAGGTAGCCCTTCTTCCAACCAGTCAGCAGATATCTTTCCTTCCTTCCTTCCAAACATTCTGCATTAGTGGTGTGAACATGTCCGCTACTGATGTCTCTGTGTCTGTTCTCAGTTCTTCTACTGGAATTCCATCTGGTCCTGCAACTTTCCCGGATTTCAGTACCTTTATGGCGTTCAAGACTTCAGTCCGGATTTTGTCGGAGGGCTTGTGTTCACTGGTAGTTGTGTAGCTGTGCTGCTGCTGCTGGTGATGATGGCAGTCGACTCAAGAGTTTTGTGAAGTGGTCAACCCATCGTTTCCTTTGTTTCTCCTCTTCCTTTGATAACTAACCTCCCTTCACTATCTTTCATTCGTCTAATCTCCGTTCATCTCTTCCCTACCAGACAGCAGTAACCTGGTTATTTGATATAATGTTGTCAGGTCTCTATCTCTGTCTCTCCCACTCACAGCCTGTTCTACTTCACTTGCCAATGTGTTGTAGAAGTGTCTTTTGTATTTCCATCCACTCTTCTTCACTTCTTTGTCCAGTGTAGTGTTTTGTAAGTTGTGTTCAGTTCGCCTTTCCTTTCTTCATCCCCCACTCCACTGCATTGGTTCATCTTCTGCTTCACCATCACCATATTCCTCTCCCTCCTCTATCAGCTTCCATGTGTCCGTAGAGATCCATCCCATCCCATCTCATTCCTTGTCTTGTCTTGTCTTGTCTTGTCTTGTCTTGTTTCTTCTTCCTTCCTAACATGGTCAAGCAGGTCTCCTTCCACATAGCTTTCAAACAGTTCCAGTGTTCTTCCACCCACGTTTCTTCAGGGACCATACTCAATCTCTCCTATTTTGTCCTGATGCTTGACTGGTATGAAGATGTCCTTTGTAGTTTCGTCCTTCAGTTCAGTTCGGTTCAGTTTAGTTGAGTTCAGTTGAGTTTCTGTTCTGTGTGTTCAACTTGAACTGTGGTCATCTATCACCAGCTTCCTTGAATTGAAGGCTTTCAATATGATTTCGAAGGTAGGTAGGTTCCTTACACTAGATAGCGAGTGGTATCAACCTTCATCTGCCCCCTTCTTCATCTTCATCTGATCTTGTGTCCAGTAGACTGCTTGGGCAGATGGGTAGCCTCAAATTCCATTATCATTTTAATTACAATCTATTATTCATATTCAAATAATCCAGTCACCATTACCTGAAGGAAAGATGAGTCTTTCACTTTTGTCATTTTCATATGCTTCCCTAAAAGATGGGCCTAAA